AGTATAAAGACCAATTATCTACAAGATATGAAACCTTGAGATAATGTTTCCTACTTGTCTTCCCCTGATTATTGCAAGACATGAACATTTTTCCCAATGTCAGGAGTAAAAATGTATACAATATGTTAATAACATGGACTAAACCAGCAGTTGGAGAAAAATATCCGCTGTTTAAAAGGTCGGTAAAGGTGTAGAAGAGGGTGACCACCAGAAGGAATTGTCCGAATTGGTTGACATGTTTTCTACACACTAATATCATGATCTTAAACACAAAAATGGAAACGACAATGTATAGAACCTAATAGAACCTGATCTAACATACCCAACCAGAAACAAACTGTCAGCTTATGCTGAATTCTGAACTATTTCAATATCAAAATGCTTTAACTGTAGTGTACAGTATTGGGATTCATAAAATTTACACCTCTGGTGTAATGGTCAGCATGCGCGCCTCACAAGCGAGCAGACCCGAGTTCGATCCTTGGGCAGGACGAAACTGTGAGCAAGTTTCTTTTCGCTATTTACCTCTGTCTACCCAGCAGTAATTGGTGACCTGGATGTTAATCGATTTGTGGATCGTGTTCCGGGGTAATGGTTAGCCAGTGCAGCTGGCAAATTGTCAGGTCTTCTAGGACTGTTCCTTGACACTGGGTCATGCAACTCCTTAGCTCAGGGTTTGTTCGTGGTTGGCGACAGCTTCTACACCTTAAACATTCACATCTAGGTGGCCCTAGGGTCGGCCATCCTAGTTACACGAGGGTCAACCATTATCTTATCTTTATCATTAGTCTTGTTAAGGTGATAATGTAAATTTACAGTTTCAGCCACAACTACTGTTCGACCACAATTTTTGGGGGGTAAAATTACAGTTTGGGCCAATATGCCCTTGTAGTTCAGAAATTAGTGTATCCTATGTATTTTGGTGTGATTTAATCGAATTTGATCTTTATTTCCAGTGGAAAGTACCCGTATTAGATTTACCCCCCGCCAAAGTAAGGAAAAACTTTAAAATTCATTTCAGAAGTTATTGTTCTTTGGCCCCTGGTTGAAATGGGGTTAGAAATACTCCCGTACTCCAAATAAGGAGATCGAAAGGTTGGGGATGGTTAAAACAGTGTACAGTATTGGCCGAGACTGCAATCATATCATTTCTTTTTTATCCCATGGTATTTGGTGTGATTCATTCGAATTTGACCTTCATATCTGTCAGAAATGAGTGGTTTTGGAGTTATCACTCCCACCCCCTCATAGAACCTGACTTTACCAACCAAAGAATCCTAACCTAACCTCACCTAACTTCCTAGCCATCCCTGCCATATTAAACAGAAAGTACCAATTATGATATCTGGTACTAATGAAAGCAACTGTGTTGAAGCACCATGGTGTAATTTTATGTTTTTTGTGGACATGAGAGTACAGTACAGTACAGTATACTCAGACCCTCAGACCGAACGGGTCAGTTGTAAGCAGACGACACGCGCTGACTGCAAACTTGCGTTAAGTTCTTACATAAAGTGGTACAGTATTAGAAAAAGGTTTTCCTATTGACGAGGTATAATTTATGGTAAACACAAAATTGCTCTAACTGAGTCGTGGCTGAAACTGTAATAATAACTTAAGATAATAATTATAGATGGTACAGCAGTTGTCTGGGTCTAACCTATCCTAACCTAACCTGCCCATGTTTTTTTATAGTAAATATAATATTTTGTTTGTTACAGGAGATGTTACAACAAGACTTTGGGAAATTGAACTGCTCCATAACAGATGAAAATGACAACTGGAGCATGGAACGAAAGCTGTCATCAGCACTATCACTATTGCCACCACCAAGGTAAACTATAGGAGCAGCTCTAATAGTCTCATAGCCTATACAGAAAATCTCTGTGTCTGTCAAATTCTTAAGACAAGTTGTTGTAACTGTGCTGCTGTTAGTCATTTGTCTGTCTGTCTTCTTTTTTATATCTTTCTATTTATTTAACAGTCAGTGGTTCCCAGCCTGTTGACCATGGGGGTAATTAAAACCATGTGAGTTCATAATAAAACTAAATAAGGCTTGACCCTCCTAGCAGAGTGCCAGAGTTTAAACCAGGGGTCTGCAACCCTCATATTTGCAGCCGGCAATATAGCATCCAAAATATGTGATGAGCGGCCAGCTAAGTTGATAATGTAAGATGTTGGAACACTTGATTCAGTAAACACCTAATCTGATACTCTTTGTTCAACTGGTAAATTATACCTGACAATGCTAGTACATAAAATACTTGTAACAATTACTGCTGAAAATCTTCTTCAAATCTTTTTCTTTTTAAGCAGACGTGGAGAGTAATTGTCAGCCATATATTGACGAGATTAAAGATAATATTCAGACATTTTGACTAAAGACAGCTGACAAACAAAGCCATGAGATAATTATTTCAGCAGAGTCTTTATGTCAGCAGCATGTGGTCCAGGTGGTCAAGTCACCCATCTAAGTACTAACGTTGTTTAACTTAGCTATCGGACAAGAACCGTGTTTCCATCGTAGTAGTACTGTGCTCTTGGTGATGCACAGCTGCAAGGGCAGATCCAGGTGAATAACAAGCAAATAAGTACAGTATCATTTCTTTTACAACCTTCTTATAATAAGTGCCAGGTATCACAACTCATAATAATCTTTGGTAACACGGTAAATCAGAAAATATTCATTAACTAACCTTCTGTGTACACTCTAAGGCCCGCCATGATTCAAAATAAGCCGGCCAAGGACTGATGAAACAGCCTCCCGACTTACGACGCAGGTAGGACCCAAATCCAGGTCGTGAGTCTAAAATGCTTAAATAATACATAGAAAATCTAAAATGGTGTCTTTTCTCAGTACCACAAAACTCTCACTTTTAAGCTTGTCAGCTATTTTAAAGTAATTAACAAACGAAAATTTTGTCTGTGTACTGACGCTAGACTCAAAATACGTAATTTGACAAAATTTTGGTACGACCGAGGCAGTCTAGGTGCGGTAGTGAAGTCGAGTAGGTCATGAGTCGGGAGCTGTATATAAAAGACCAGGAACCTTTAGTATAAACCTATAAATTTTCTGTAGAATACATAATTATTTGTAGCTAAATAATAACTAAATATTACCACAATATTCTATTCAGTTGAAGTAAATGCACATTGTAGTAAATATTTCCTTTATTATTCAATGTGAAACATAATTTTATGTTGTACAGTATTAGTATTTATTACCACCCATTGGGATACTCAAACAAAATTTCCATATACAGCATATCACTGTAGTACCATTACTGTACTTGTCTGAATACAGTACTGGTACAGTATAATTTAGTTCTATATTTCTTAATGCCCAATTTCAAATTTTATTTTCGTAAATCTAGTATATATTGCATAACTACACTGTGTAATGGCTAGTTGTTGTTTACAATGTGGTTAATTAGTGTATAAAGGTTGCTGACCCCTGGTTTAAACCATCTGAGTTAATGATGCCTGACAGAGTTTTGGGTGGCAATAGGCGGCTATTTTATTATCATCAAACTGGTTATCCCGGTGCTTCTGCCATTCTCGTCTTTATCTCTGTGAAGGGTTATTTTCACACTGTGGAGCATCAAATAGAAACAGCACTATTGGCTCCATGTGGAAGATGGCCTCCACTGTGCCCTGACTGTGACTAAACTACTGATGCCACAACTGGTGACATAAACCAATGTCAACCAACCCACTGAGATTTAATTAACTTTTTGCATGTGCATAGATTATACACATGCACAGGTCCATAGTTTGATTACCCGAGTTGTTGTGGAGTTGAGTTTATTTATGAGATTATAATACACAGCCAGACACAACAGAGGTTCACATACACTATCCATGACTTGGAATCTTTTATTGTGTGGCAGTTCTATTTGATATTGCCCTGTAACTACTGTATATACCACTAATAATAATAAAATATCATATCCAACTGCTCATTCCAGTGACGTTTAGTTTGTTTCATCGAAGAAAGACTTGGGCAACAGTAGTTATCACATCTTGTCTTGTCTGGGAACCACTCATCTGACTGCTTATGTATATTTGTGTGTCTGTCTTTCAGTATATCTATCAATTTATCTCTATTATCTGCCAATATCTGTCTACAGGTATCAATAATACCTATCTCAGTCAGTTTTATCTATATTTGTCAATCTATTTATCAATACAATATTTGTCAGTCTGTCAATCTATGTACAGTACTGTATGTCTTTCCATATGGCTTACCAATATCTTTCAGTATATATTTATTATTTAGAGAATGTATATAAAGGTGATTTAAAACTTGCAGCCACAGCATAATTGACTTTTAAACATTCTAAATATCTTAAGTTATTTCAAAGGTCATTAAATAACACTAATTACTTGAATTATTAAACTGTGAACCCAGATCCTTAATCAGTACTTAAAGTAATACCTTTGTATAGTTTTGTGTAATATGTTCTTTATTTGTAAGCCACATCATTTATATAGAGGGAATAAGAGTTAAAGACGTCTGCTTTCTGAGACATAAAGTTGCTAGGTCAGCCTGCAGCACGTGTGTACTGTAGGATTTATTGGGATCCCAAGAGTTAGTTTCAACTCCAGTAATGGGAAAACCTGTTAATCCGCCTCTCAATCCCTGTAGGTGCCGATAACTGTGATTCTACTGTATTATCTATCTGTATTAATGTACCACTAATTTAGCTGGGAATGTTAAGGCAAAATAACAGAGTTTGTCAAGCATGGAAGGTTTACAGTCCCAAGAAAGTTCATAAACCAAACTTTCATAAAACAACAACTTCTGTACTGAAGGACTATTATTGTATGGACATATTTTTATCATAAATTGCTGTATATATTAAATGTTTTTGTTTGTTTGTTACAGATGAGTTAAAGACCCTGGAAATTAAGAGATGCCATCACAACTGAAAATGATAACTGCAGGCTGATACAACAGCTGCCATTGTAGAACTTAATTCCAATGAAAACACACCCACCACTACTACCAACCACATATGGCAAGGTAAACTAAAGGAATCATTTGTCTGTCTGTCTGTTTGTCTTCCATTTATACTTTATCTACAGTAAGATCTTGTATTTCAAGGATAATATAGACTGGAAAATTGCGCCAAATTCAAATTCACCAAATGCAATACATAAACTAATGGTAAAATAACAATATTGACTGGCCACTCTACATCAACCTCTGATTTTATTTATAACCTCCAAATGATACAAATTCTGCCTTTATTGACCTGAGCTCGGAAACTAGTTTTTGGCCTTCCTCAAGTAACTTAATCACACGCTGCTTATCCTGCATCGAGTACTTGCCAAACTTAACTCCCTTATGATAGTCCCGCTCTCCTTTTCCTTATTTGGCTGCTTAGGTGGGTCTGTCCCACCCCCACCAGCACCAGTAGGACCCCAGTAGAGGTAGAGGCCATTATCTTGACTTGACAGTGGAAACACCACCCAAAAGCACAATAGCAGCCCAGGCGGTCGCTAGGATGGCGCCGCTACAACTCGATAGTTGCATTCTTGTAAACCTCTTTACGCTCACAACGGCAATTTGATCACCAAAACTCTTCTTGAAACATTCTTCTTACCTTCTCTTCCATATTCATCACTAAAAACAAACTTGAGAAAAACAGCAAAATCACGGAGCAATCGACAAAAACCGCACAATTCAACTGATGACGGTGTAAACAGAGCTGGTAAACCGTTATTAGTCCTCACTGCGAAACATTCTTTTACTTATTCTTTCATACAGTATTTATGGGTACAGCAATTTTCAAAACAAAAGTACAACAAAATTCACAGAGTACTAAAAACACTTAACAAACAAAAGACACGAATCAATTGAACATGTGATGTCAACGTGAATGTAAAATTGCATAACCCCGCCACACTTAAAATATTGAGGGTGGAAGCGTGTTATAAAGCCAACAGTCATGCAAAAGTTCGTGTTTTACAAGCAGCGCTCCCCTATTCATCAATCGTTACAACCAATTGGCGATAACAAAACACTCGTTGTAGCAGAAAGACTGCACTGTATGAGGCCATGACGTCATTCAAGACGGTGGCCACCATTCAGCTTGCTGGATCTCACGAAATTCACGATATTTTACGCCAAATATAAGACATGGTTACATTAGGTAGTGCTCACGAAATATGAGATCTAACTGTGTTTAACTGTTTATGTATGTTTGTGTGTGTGTGTCTTTATGTGCCTTTCAGTATACTATATATCAATACCTATCTTAGTCTTGTTTTATCTGCTGTATATCTACCAATTTATTTATCAATACAAATATTGGTAAATTTACATTTTAAACCAATATGGCTCCTGAGTTGAGCAATGTTATCGTAGCTGTTAATCTAATAGTGGAGCGGTAGAAAATAATGTAAGAGGTTTACTTAGGGAGTTATATATATATATGTTACATTTAATTTAGGTTATATTTAATTAAAGAATTATTTAATAGTTACCTGAAATAATAGTTTTGTGCGAGACTACTTTCCTTTGTCTGCGTGCTCATCCTACCAGCTACCGTTGAATGTCAAATTACCTGCCATTGTCAGTTCCAACGATCCTGACCAGAGATATAAAGGCCTGTCACCATTTATAAAGAGGGCGGATTTTATAAGTCTTTTCGTATTAATTTATCCCCGCTGTTAACTTTAAACTCTTTAACCTGTTTTTATCTTAATTTCCTACCCATTTTCTCCATTAGTTCTGTCTAGTTATTTCATTTCATATTACTTCATAACTCCTGGCAGCACGTACAGGGTTGGGCACACGGGTTCTGTAATTCTAACTATTGGACAAGAATAAAGGTAAATACTGAGGTAAAATGACACCCTAACATACTCTAACAATGGTTTATTAATATGAAATTAAATATGGTTAAAGATGTCATTAACATACAACTACAAGGATCAACTTCCTTGGCTTTACTCCTCTGTACTCAACATTTACTAGCTTCTTAATCACTACTGGTTGTACAACACACCACGAGACGCTTTACACATGGCACACTGGAGTACCAGCACACAGTACCTCAACTCTTAGTCAGTCACAGCACTCTAGGAACATACCAACAAATCTACTTAACATTATCAGGGGTGTAGCTTTATGATATTTTTATACAGGTGCCAAGAAATAAATGGCGACCCCATACTCTTGCTGTTTCCACACCCTGAAGAGATACATATAGGAATCTCAGATGAATAACACAGCCACAGCTGGACTCAAAGCACAACACACTGAGAGCTGGCCGCTCTTAACTATGGTGCGTGAGATAGTCTGGATGGACGGTTAACACAGGTTGGCTGGGCTGGGCCGCATGAGACGCTACTCTGTCTCATCCATCTCCACCTAGGTTGATGTCGTCCCAACATAACGACCACTCTTGACCTCCGGGACTCTGTGGGTGGAGGGCCGGATGCTAGACCAGTTTGTCGACGTGAATGTCAATGTTTCAAAAGCCGCTAAGGGCATAAGAACACTTCACTTAACCCTAACGCCCAGGCTACGGTGCGTAAGAAAAGTATACATTGTCCTCTATATTCTTCCGTGGCGCCTCAGTGACGAGACAAATAAGGGAAAGTTTTTTACATGAAGCGCCGCCACCACGCACTTAGAGGTCATATTCCTGCTTGCCTTTGTTGGCTTATAGGCATGCATTTTATTTACTGATCAAATACTTTATAATATTTCATTTAGACTTTATTTATTTGCATTACTCTTCATAAGAAATTCTCAGCGACACACACACACACACACATCACACAGTAAATATAAAGATTAGTAGAATAACACGGACATATATTTTTTACACGTTTTTAACCGAAAAACAAATCGGTAAAATATATTACATAATTGGGACGGTAAAAGTAAACACTGGCAGAAACAGGTTGCAACTCTGTCATGATTATATAACCATTTAGTGGTCTCTACCTGCAGGCGATAATGACGTGGTTACCAATATAACATGCAGTTTTCTATGTACTGTACAAGTTTGATGATATACGGTTAAGGTAAATCATTGTTTATACCAGAACGTTGATAGTTAGATTTATAGCTGAATGTCTGATAAAATAATCCCAAACTTTGCTTTCCACATCGAGATGTCAAAATTCACCCTTGCCTCATTGGCAGCCTGTAATTCTGACATTTAGAGTGCAAGACTCAGTAAGCAACTCATTGAAATTTACTGCCATTTCTGTGCTCATCCATGGAAGTAGAGTGAACTGAGCTGAGAATTAAAAAGGTGTACAGTACAATACAGTATATAGGAGTGTGGAACTTGTGTTGTGTCACAGCACAAGTGGGGGACCACTTAGCGACGCAGCACCTGTCAGCCTTGTCCTTGACACCTTGATTAAAAAGAAAAAAAATCACATGTGACCCTGCAAGACCCTGACATTGACCCCATGACCTCTATGTGATCCCTTATGATGCATCTTACACCCCATATTTGGGAACCGATGATCCAAACCATCGGAAAAACACATTGTTCAACCTGAGCCGTGTTGGTTGAAAATGTAAATTTACCTATATTTGTCTCTGTCAGTCTATATACAGTACAGTATATCTGTCTATCTCTATCTATCTAACTTCTATACATATCTGTCAGTATCTATTTTTATATTTTCATCTGTTTCTATGTCTGTCTATCACCCAATCTATCTACTGTATATCTACCTGTCTACCTGTCTAAACTATTGTATTAATGTACCACTAATTTAGCTGGGAATGTTAAGGCACAAATGACAAAGTTTGTCCAGAATAGATTTACAGTCCCAAGAAAGTTCACATAAACCAAACTTTCATAAAACAAACAACTTCTGTACTGAAGGACTATTAATGTACTGCTGTACTGTGTATATTAAATGTTTTTGTTTGTTTGTTACAGATGAGTAACGACTAAACCCTTGAGAAATTAACAACTGGATCATGGAGACACTGCTGTTACAGGTATGTCTGTATGTCTGTCTAACTGTCTATCTTCATCTATCTGTGTTTCTATATCTTTCTATCAGTCTTTCAATACCTGTATGTCAGTCAGTCTGTCTGTTTGGTATCTATATCGTCTGTCAGACTGTCTTTATACATACAAGTATCTGTCTTATCTATATCTATGTTATCAGTAATAAAGATATTGACAGTGAGTGAGGAAGGTGGATACACAAGAGGTACAGTGAGTGAGGAAGGTGGGTACACAAGAGGTACAGTGGAGTGGATGGCAGACTGCAAGATGTTGCTGACTGTAAGTGTTGTGTATGTGCAGGTAAATATGTGTCCACGACAAGACTGAAGAAACTCAACACTGAAGATTATCCGTGGACTTTGTGGATGAGTTCTGCTGCCTGGGTGACATGATGAGTGCTGGAGGGGGTGCTGAAGGCTGCGGTGTTGTGAGTCATGGATGATTTCTGCTGCCTGGATTACATGATCAGTGCTGGATGGGGTGCTGTTCATTTTCAAGAGTCATACATGGCTGGAGGAAGTTTAGGGAATTCTTGTCTTTATTGTCAGCACGGGGACTTTCCCATCACATGAAAGGAAGAATGTACAGTATACAACTGGTGTGAGAAGTGTGGTGTTATATATCCGTGAAACATGGGCAGTTAAAGAGGATGACATATGCAGTCTTGAGTGAGCTGAAATGAGAATGGTGAGGTGGATGTGTACTGTGACGTTGAAAGATGAGAATCACCGTTCAGAGCTAAGAGGGCGGCTGGGTATTGAGAGTATCGGCCAAGATTTATGTATAAGTAGACCGAGATCGGGAGTGTGGGGAGAATGGATGAGACCAGCTGGGTTAAGTGGTGCATGAGTCTAAATGTGGTGAGGAGGAGAGCCAGTGGTAGGTGGCCAAGAATGACATGGGGAGAGATTGTAAGAAATGATCTTAGAACCTGACAAGACAGACTGCAAGAGATGGTGTGCATGGAGAGTTACTGCAGCTAACCTGCAGAGGCGTGGAAAATGGCTGTTTGATTTTGTTGTGGATGATGATGATTTTGATCTATCTTTCAGTCTATCTATACTACTATACTGTATTTCTCACCATAATAAAGGCAACCACTGATATAGCATGAAAGGTTTATAGTCCAGAATGTTCACCTAAACTAAACTTGCATAAAAGGAACAAAGATTTAAATGAGAAGAATTGCAGTGTGTTTCATAACCTGTACAGTATAGTTGACCCTCGCCAAATGAGGATTTCCCATCCACCGGGTTCTGGATATTCACGGTTTTACTCTGCCAACCATTTCACAAACCGGCATATAACAGTAAAGAATGAATAAAATTACATATAGTATCACCTTAAAATACACGTTGTAAAATAGAAAAACACAGCTTGGAGACATTTGTTTAGTTAAAAATATGTCTTATATGGTGGAAAAATGGTATATCTCTCAGTCTCTCTCTCTCTTTCTCTCTACATCTTTCTCTCCATCTGTCTACAGTATATCTGTCTTATATGTACTGTAGACAGAACTACTGTACTAACCATGATAGACAGTTGACAATGCGTGTGATTAATACCTGGAATACAAATATTTCCAGAGATATTCCAATATATTCAGGAACTAGACCACTTTAGTGATATAGAAGAACCAAGAAAATATTGTTTATTGTTTTGTTTTATACCCAAAACACTGGTGATTGTCTCTCAGATATCAGGACAGTGATGCACCACTATATCTTCAGTGGTGCATCACTGTCAGGGTTCATACCCAGTCTTGGACAGATGTGAGAAGGATGTTACCCTCACTACCAAACATGACAGGTTTTCTCCAGGTACAATACTGCAGTTTTCTCCCATACTGTGCAGTATTAACACTGGACAATGAAGGACATAACAAAGAACAGACCAACTGCCCAAACGGCTCATTACTGGTAGTTACGATGTCGCTATGTTAACTTATACAAAGGTGAATCATAATTTATGTTTACTCGGCGTGATCAAGCTTATTCATGCCAGTACAGTAATGTACTGATGAATGAGTCTTGATCACACACAACTATAAGGCGGCCTTCTCTTGCCACTCCATCATCCCTCTGGCCTTTAACTGGATCTCTGAGGTGACAGTCATGACCAGTGATAAATATTTTGGTGTTAAGTCGGTGGTGGTACGTGCAGGTCTGACCCACCTGTTACAAACTACTGCGAGGGAGGACCTTCCTTAAAGGTTTTAACTTGGCAGTAAGCAGAAGGTCACAGCTCTGTATCAGCTGTCAACACAGACGTCCTCAATGGCATGATGGTCTATAGACCATTTTTTATTTATTACTTACTTGTCCTTGATGTGGTTCACCCATTATCAGATGCAGGTCAAGAACATGACTGTCCCTCTGTAATCATCACTGAGTACATGAGGATGGATTACATTCTTAATCTCAAATGGCAGCCGTCACCTGCAGAAGTTAACTGTAGGGATGGTAGCCATCATCAGTAGAAGTTTCATGTTCCATTTTTACATACGGGAAAGGGATGATCCTTAACCAGTGACTATGATAAAGAAGGTACCTGTAGGTTCCTTATTTGTCCTGGCATCACATGACCCAACTGTACCCAGACTGTGGCCTCACACGTGCTCTACTGTTTGTCTTAAATCCAAGGTTATATATAGAAGTTAACCTGAGGTCTGACACAAATTGTTCTGTTCTGTTTGTAAAGATTTATGTCTTATATAATACAACGTCACTTACTGTGCCACTATTGTTGTACTGTACATCACTTTTTGTATACCTGTACAGTATTGTCCATATACCTGTACCTGCATTGTCTATGTACATGCTGACTGTATACTGTACCTCATTGTCTATATACATGCTGACTGACTGTATACTGTACTTCATTGTCTATGTATGGGTAAGTATTGTTTACACACACATAATTATTAATTAATTTGTTAAAGTAAAATGGAGGCTGACCACCTCCACCCTGTCCCACATCACTTTGCTCCTATCAGTACTTGGCCTATTGGTTCCAGTGCTTGGCTTTGAGCATAAATTCCATAAATCAATCAATCAATTAATCCTAGCAGTACATGTACTCAGATACTGTACTCAGCTTATTGTAGGAAGGATTTGAGTTTTTAATGAAGGTTTATGAAGACTTCAACCAGCTGTTCCATGAGTACTGTACTGTACTGTACACTGTCCTGTCCTGTCCTGTCCCGTGCTATCCTGTCCTGTACTTAATGTAATGTACTGTACTGTACTGAAACATATAAGTAAAACACAATATCTTGAACCTTGTCAGAAGTGTTCTTCCTCTGGGTGTGTTAACAGCTCTGGCTGTGTTCCACGCCACAGGTCTACCTCTCAACACCAGGAACCAATCATGCCTGACATGACTAACTTATTAGTTTAAGTTATACTATATACTGTACTGTACTCTTTATAACTCAGTGTTACTTTTAAAATACAATGGTAATCAATAACTAGTTTATTCATATAAACCAATTTACCAGATTTAAAGTAAATGCCAAGAATAGCCTACTGGTCTCAACCTGATGAACCATCTAGTGACCTCTACGCTCATCAGACTAATTATTTATAATAGTAATAAACCATCGCCACTATTTATATTTTTATACATGTGAGTCGTGGATTATACAAATTACTGTAAGAAACCCAAGATTTGCCCCTGACAACAAGACCATTTCACATAAAATTCACACAAAACCACTACCCAAATATCCATAGGTGCTTCAAGGCTCCACGGGCAAGTTGTTACCAGATTTAATTTACAATTCACAGTTATTACATGGAATTATACATTTTACAGAATACTGTATATACTGAACTGTATACCTACATGTCTATATACATGCTGAACTGTATACTTGCATTGTCTACTGTATATACATGCTGAACTGTATAGTGCATACCTATGACCTGTGGTGTAATGTTTATCCTCGCCTCACTAGCGAGCGGACCCAGTTCGATCTCGGGCAGGGTGAAACTATGGGTAAGTTTCTTTATGCCATTTGCCTCTGTCTACCCAGCAGTAATTGGGAACCTGGATGTTAATCGATTTGTGGATCGTATTTAGTAATGGTTAGCCAGTGCAGTTGGAGAGTTGTCCAGTCTTCGACTACTGTATTCCTTGACACTGGGTCATGCAGCTCATTAACTTGGGGTGGTTGTTGTGTTAGCAACAGCTTCACACCTTAACAAATTCACGCCTAGGAGGCCCCTTGGGCCGCCATCCTCGATTTCTAGGGGCTTCCATTATTTATTTATACCTGTACCTGCATTGTCTATATACAGTACATGCTGAACTGTATACCTGCATTGTCTATATGCTTAACTGTATACTGTACCTGCATTGTCTATGGTGAACTGTATACAGTACCTGCATTGACTATAATGCAGATTGAACCAATTGTAAACTTATATGATAAGTTTACGGAATAAATATATATATCTATCTATCTAAAGTGGTCTAGTGTATGGAAATATTTTGATCTTTTCCTGATAATGTTGTTTCATCACAGGTGTTACTCTGTTGTAGTGTGAGCCAGTGTGAGGTGGAGGTCAATATTAAACTGAGGTGTTTAGCTGTGGCTCTGGAAGATTGACAATTTGTCTTATTTTAATTATAAACCAGAACACTTTTATTTCTCACTTTTATCCATGCATAATTTGGCTAAATTTAGCTTTCATATTTACTTGGACTTAGAATGCGATCACACTGTGGTTTGAAATTAAGAAAAAAATATATTCTTTTGTGTTTTCAGGACTTTAGAATTAATATGATTTAGTGAGGCTGTTGAACTGTTCCGCACTTTACTAAACCGAAAATATATTTTATTGTTCGTTATGAATTCAATCTCAATAGTTCGTGTCATTTAATGTTGCTCTAAAATCTGTTGACTGACATGCAGCAATTATTCTGTTATAGTCATGCCAGTTAATGTTGTTTTAGGAGATACAGTTTATAATGTAGTGATCTCCGTTAAAACAAACCATTTTTATTTTCCAAATTTGTCGCGCTGGGTTATGAAGGTGTGCATGGTGGGAAAGGCTTTGGAATAAGGAATATTGAAGGTGAAGAATACTTGAGTTTGGGGATGGCATGAAACAGGTGTTTAAGAAGAGTGCAAGTAGGCTGACCATGTAGGCCTAAGTCAGGTGGCACAGAAACCCAGATTGGCTTCATTTTTGTCAGGAAATTAGAACAGGTTGCTTGTGAGTGTGTGTGTGTGTGTGACATGTTACTTAAAGATGGAGGAAGAGGAAGAGGGTGGATTTTCCAAGAAGGAGAGTGTAGGAATTGTGAAGGAACTGAGTGGAAAGGAAGCTTTTTTTTCTGAGTTGAGAAGCTGGGAAACAGCCAGTGACAGATTGAAGGGCAGTGTACCACGATGCTGGGCCATAATAAAAGATGTTGTTTTGAGTGTGGTTGATAAGATTTGTGGCAGGAATGATGAATTGGAGAGAGAGAGAGAGATAAAAAGAGGAAAGGAGATTGTGTGAGACGTGGAAGATGGTTGGCAACAGAGAGAAGTACAGTACCTGGAGGCTAAACTGAGATGGTTCAGGAGAGAAAGGAGGAAACTAACTGTGTTAAGAGATACATGAATGAAAGTGGAGGGGAGGGGAGTTAGAAGTAGGCAAAGAATGACATGAGGAGAGGTTGTTAAGAAATGTCGGTGCTACTTTAGTAACTGAGAATGTTCATTGGTTGGAATGATGAGGAACAAACTGAACAGAAATAAATGAATAATTGAACACAAAAAAATTAAGAATTGTCGAATAATATCAAAATATTCGGAACTCAGTTAATTCGTATTTTCAGTAATTCGAGTGACCCAGAGTCTCTTTTTGTCGAGTCACTGAAGGTATAGTGCAGTTTGTGGTCCACAGAATTACTGAAAATACAAATTAACGGAGTTCCGATTATTTTAATATTAATCGACAATTTCTCATTTTTTTTTGTTCAATTATTCATTCATTTTCGGTTCAATTTGTTCACATTGTTCCTCATTATTCCAACCAACAAACATACTCAGTTACCAAGCCTTGACTGCCACATAAAGAACTCTTTATAATTACTGTGGAAGCAAATATTTTTTAAGTGTACAAACAGTAATAATAAAGTAAATAATACAATAATAAATAAATGTAAGACTTACTGTACATTGTGAGGTGAACTAATAATATATAGATGATATTCAGAAAGTGTAATAGTATTGAGGATCAGTTCTGGGGTCCACTGCTGTCATCAAGAAGATTAATCCCCAACCTACCTAACTCAGGAGACTGGTTCCTTTGTTCTTTGTTTTTCTCCCTTGTTTTGTTGTTTTAGTTGGCTGAAGAGGGTCTTAGTACACCAGCTCTAAAGTTTGGTCTTTTATTTCTCCAATGAGGGTTTTTATTTCATTTACCAGTGTGGCCATGACACCTTCGGAGTATCATCTACATTTTACGATCTCACATTATTTATTTATTACGGTATTATTTACTTTATTATTGTAAGACATTATTTATTTATTACGGTATTGTTTATTAATTATTGTAAGTATTTTATAAATATTTATATTTGTACAATAATTATAAATAGAATATTGTATGTGGCAGCCAAGGCAACTTTCGAACCACTCGGTTATTTCAGATTGGATTCTTTCCAAATTCAAATCGTTTAATTAATTTTTTGAAAACATACGAATTAAGCTAAAGTCCGAATTACAACTACAGGTATCTGATTTAACGAGGGTATAGTGTAAATACCCCAGTAGACTGCATATTATGGTAGCACCGAAATCTCAGAATTATTTTGATGTATTAAATCTGATTATGCCAAATATTTTTGTATTTATCTAGATGTGCTTAACAGTAATATTTCTAAGTCCAAAAATTCACTGTTAAAAATATTGTAAGTCCAAATTCATCGTTAAAAATATTGTAAATCCAAAAATTCATCGTTAGAAATATTCCAAGTCCAAAAATTCATTGTTAAAAATGTTGTAAATCCAAAAATTCATCGTTGAAAATATTCTAAGTCCAAAAATTCATTGTTAAAAATATTCTAAGTCCAAATTCATCGTTAAAAATATTCTAAGTCCAAATTCATCGTTAAAAATATTCTAAGTCCAAATTCATCGTTAAAAATATTCTAAGTCCAAAAATTAATCGTTAGAAATATTCTAAGTCCAAAAATTCATCGTTAGAAATATTATAAGTCCAAATTCATCATTAAAAATATTCTTTGTCCAAAATTTCATCGTTAGAATTATTCTAAGTCCAAAAATGACCAAAATTTTACCTGGGCAAAATTTGAGTAATAAGAAATTGTCTGGTTTTAGGGATAAAAAAATTTGTGCCATTCTTAAGAGCTCCAGCTTGGTATCTCCGTGTTTATATTTATTATGAGGCATAACGGACTACCTGGACGTGGGGAGAGTAACTCAGTGGGCGCCTACTGAGTATTCTCCCCACGTCCAGGTAGTCCGTTATGCTTGTATTTTTTTATATTATTGGTGAGCGATGATTTGAAGAGGCTTTCCTCCGGAGACTCTTCCGATTATCCTTTACCAAATTTTTTCAACGTTAGTCCTGGCAATGGCAAACTCAAAAAACACTTAAGGGTAAAAAAAGGGCATTTTTTGGGCTATTTTTCGCTCAAAATTGGCCATTTTTTCATAAAAATTGGTATTTTTTCCATATTTTTAGCTATTTTTTTCATATTTTTAGCTATTTTTTCATATTTTTAGCTATTTTTTCATATTTTTAGCTATTTTTTCATATTTTTAGCTATTTTTTCATATTTTTAACCATTTTTTGCTATTTTTTTTTATAATTTCAGCTATTTGTTTTAATATTTATAGCCATTTTTTTATATTTATAGTTTTTTATTATATATACCGTATTTTTTTATATTTATATATATATATATATATTTTTTTTACATTTGTATATTGTATTTGTATATTATATTCATATTTCATTTGTATATATAATTTTTCAGATGCTTTACAAAAGTACTTTGCTCCAAAATGTGAAGCTGAACTTTTCTGTAAAAGTTGTAAAGAAAAGGTTAATGAATACTGGTATTGACATTTAGACATTTATTAATGGAAACTTAATGGCATTATAAATTTTTCTTTGACAGCAGTAAAGGGCAGCAGTGGCCAGCACATGGCAGTCCAGGGTGGCAACAACAGTGGACAGGACAGTGTCCAGGGTGGCAGCAGTGGCCGGCCTAGGACAGGACAGTGTCCAGGGTGGCAGCAGCAGGCAGTCCAGGACAGGACAGCAGCAGCCAGCTTAGGGACAGGACAGTGTCCAGGGTGGTGGCAGCAGCAGCAGTGGACAGGACAGTGTCCAGGGTGGCAGCAGCAGGCAGTCCAGGACGGCCACAGCAGCAGTGGCCAGCCTAGGACAGGACAGTGTCCAGGGTGGCAGCAGCAGGCAGTCCAGGACAGCAGCAGCCAGCTTAGGGACAGGACATTGTCCAGGGTGGTGGCAGCAGCAGGCAGTCCAGGGCAGTGGTGGCAGCAGCAGGCAGTCCAGGGCAGCAGTGGCCAGCCCAAGATAGGACAGTGACCAGGGCGGCGGTGGCTGCAGCAGCCAGTCCAGCTTAGTGGTAACCACCCACCACAAAGTCCAGAATAATATTTCTGTACAAAATAAAAAGTAAAATTAATATTTATTTAACCAGATTATTATTTTAAATATAATAATGACTAAATGTGCTGTAGTGTTCTAGACAATTTAACAAGGACCAAATGTACAAATTACTTAATATTAAAGTTGGTAATTGAAATCTTTCACCTAATGATACTTGATAACATACTGCCAAGTGTTCAGGGAATATTATCAATAACTGTACAGCAACTTAACCTAACCATGTATATTGTACCTGCATAGTTTAACCATAAGAGTTATTGAGTCATATATATATATATATGCAAGTAAATCACTGTAGGTGCGCGGGATCTAGGTATATGCTGATAACCACAAGGAAAGAAGAAAACACGAAGTTCCCAAGCGCTTTCGTGTAATTCACATCTTCAGGGGTGAGTACAGACTAGAGAGTAATACAAATCAAGGTGTATATATACAGAGGAGGGTGAGACCAGGTCCACAATGGTCAGGTATTAGGTAATGACCCTACTAATCTTTAAATAGCACACAACGGTTGGTGGTCAGGTCAGATGGTCAAGTGACCCGGCCTTTTCACCTGATCACAAATCTTCTTAATTACAAAATTGTCCAGCTTGTACATGCCGTTACTCAAATTCATGTTGGATGCTTCGGTATGTTTAATAAGACTAGATTCTATGATGTTCCTACTATCAATTGAATTACATGGTAATATTGAGGAGGCATTATCCCAGTCAATGCAATGCTTGTTATCCCTCAAATGAACAAACAGAGCATTGGATTCCTGGCCTGTCCTAACACTGTATTTGTGTTGTTTAATTCTAGTTGCAAGATCTTTACCTGTCTGGCCTAAGTAAAACATATTACATTCCTTGCAAGGAACTTTATAAATGCAACCAATTGTGTTGTTGGGGGAGTTCTTGATTAACATTTGTTTAACAGTGCATGAGTTTTTAAATGCCACATTGACGTTCCAGGTTTTTAGCTGTGCAGGAATGTGAGAAATTTTTGTGAAATGGTAATATTAAGATATTCTTATGGTCATGGGTGGGCTTGGGGTCAGTTCTATAAAAAGTTTTCTTAGTAATGTTTAAGCATTTGTCTATGAAAGATCTAGGGTATTTAAGGTTTGAGCCAATATTATATATATATTTGTATTCCTCATCGATGAATTCCGGACTGCAAATTCTCAAGGCACGTAAAAACATTGTTGAAAATACTGACTGTTTGACTTTATTATGGTGGGCAGAATAATAATGAATGTATGAACACACATCAGTTGGTTTTCTATAAATACTGAACTTAAAAGTGTTACCTATTCTGTGGATCAGACAGTCTAGGAATGGCAATTTACAGTCTTGCTCTAATTCCAGTGAATTTGATCGAGGGGGCTAAGTTGTTAAGTTGTGGCAGGAAAGCTTTTAGGTCCTCATTACATGGCCAGAGACATAATACATCATCAACATATCTAAACCAGACTGCTGAGGGTGGTAAAATATTACTTAATAGTTTCTTTTCAAAGAATTCCATATATAGGTTGCTTAATACAGGTGAGAGTGGGTTACCCATTGCCATACCAAATTTTTGAGCATAATATTCCCCATTGAATTCGAATTTGCAATCCTTAATACATAGTTTGATGAGTTCGATGAAGTCGTCTTTCGAGACGGGCAGTGAAATGTTATCCAGGGAATCTATGAGGAACTCTAGTAAATCATCAACTGGGACCTTTGTAAAGAGTGACGTTACATCAAAGCTGACCAGTTTAAAATCATGATTAATGTGTAAGTTATGGAGTTAGAAATGTTGCCAACTAGGGGATTTAGTAAAGAAACTAACTATTTAGATAGTTTATAAGAGATTGACCCAACTGAGCTAATGATGGGTCTTGCTGGGTTATTGGGCTTGTGGGTCTTGATTACACCGTACATGTATGGCAGTGGAGGGGACGTTGAAGTAAGATGTTTAATGAGCGTAGCTTTGCCTCTCAATAGGGACTTCAGTTTTTTGTTGAACTGGGTGTTGACAGTGTTGAGATGATTATTTATGAGTTTAGAATATGTTGTAGTATCACATAAGAGGTCATTCATTTTAGAGATATAGTCATCTTACACATTAATCATGATTTTAAACTGGTCAGCTTTGATGTAACGTCACTCTTTACAAAGGTCCCAGTTGATGATTTACTAGAGTTCCTCATAGATTCCCTGGATAACATTTCACTGCCCGTCTCGAAAGACGACTTCATCGAACTCATCAAACTATGTATTAAGGATTGCAAATTCGAATTCAATGGGGAATATTATGCTCAAAAATTTGGTATGGCAATGGGTAACCCACTCTCACCTGTATTAAGCAACCTATATATGGAATTCTTTGAAAAGAAACTATTAAGTAATATTTTACCACCCTCAGCAGTCTGGTTTAGATATGTTGATGATGTATTATGTCTCTGGCCATGTAATGAGGACCTAAAAGCTTTCCTGCCACAACTTAACAACTTAGCCCCCTCGATCAAATTCACTGGAATTAGAGCAAGACTGTAAATTGCCATTCCTAGACTGTCTGATCCACAGAATAGGTAACACTTTTAAGTTCAGTATTTATAGAAAACCAACTAATGTGTGTTCATACATTCATTATTATTCTGCCCACCATAATAAAGTCAAACAGTCAGTATTTCCAACAATGTTTTTACGTGCCTTGAGAATTTGCAGTCCGGAATTCATCAATGAGGAATACAAATATATATATAATATTGGCTCAAACCTTAAATACCCTAGATCTTTCATAGACAAATGCTTAAACATTACTAAGAAAACTTTTTATAGAACTGACCCCAAGCCCACCCATGACCATAAGAATATCTTAATATTACCATTTCACAAAAATTTCTCACACATTCCTGCACAGCTAAAAACCTGGAACGTCAATGTGGCATTTAAAAACTCATGCACTGTTAAACAAATGTTAATCAAGAACTCCCCCAACAACACAATTGGTTGCATTTATAAAGTTCCTTGCAAGGAATGTAATATGTTTTACTTAGGCCAGACAGGTAAAGATCTTGCAACTAGAATTAAACAACACAAATACAGTGTTAGGACAGGCCAGGAATCCAATGCTCTGTTTGTTCATTTGAGGGATAACAAGCATTGCATTGACTGGGATGATGCCTCCTCAATATTACCATGTAATTCAATTGATAGTAGGAACATCATAGAATCTAGTCTTATTAAACATACCGAAGCATCCAACATGAATTTGAGTAACGGCATGTACAAGCTGGACAATTTTGTAATTAAGAAGATTTGTGATCAGGTGAAAAGGTCGGGTCACTTGACCATCTGACCTGACCACCAACCGTTGTGTGCTATTTAAAGATTAGTAGGGTCATTACCTAATACCTGACCATTGTGGACCTGGTCTCACCCTCCTCTGTATATATACACCTTGATTTGTATTACTCTCTCTAGTCTGTACTCACCCCTGAAGATGTGAATTACACGAAAGCGCTTGGGAACTTCGTGTTTTCTTCTTTCCTTGTGGTTATCAGCATATATATATATATATATATATATATATATATATATATATATATATATATATATATATATATATATATATATATATATATATATATATATATATATATATATATATATATATATATATATATATATATATATATATATATATATATATATATATATATATATATATATATATATATATATATATATATATATATATATATATATATATATATATATATATATATATATATATATAATGTTGTCTTTCAATGACTTTGCTTTAGGAATTATTGATTTGTGAACAATTAATTTTAACTAAATTTACATCAATGAATATCTTGGGCCCAGTACAGAACAGTATTGTTTATTAAAGGTGAAAGCTGCCGAGAGTAATTTATTATTTCTAAAGTATACAAAATGTAGGTAACTTTACATCTACATTTATGAATTATTTCACCAAGTTCAGCATTGAGCAAAAGTTAATTTACTTAGTTTACATTTTATGTATTAAATTGTTTTTTAAATTTGTAAGAAGTTAAGAGTAAAGTCAAGTTATTACCTATAAAAGGTTTAAAGCAAGATATTTTGAAACTTATTTATCCTAATACAGTATTATAACATGACCCTAAACTGAAGGTTTTATCCTATATAGAAGTACCACATTAATCCACTTAATCTAGTACAGTAATTGAAGAACATTAGTGATGCACCATTAATAACATACCTAGTCAAAATTTTCTCAATAATCTGCCGCCAGATTCAAAACCCATTTAGAGTTAATGCTATAATTTAGGTCAATTTTATCATGCAGGTATAACAATTAGTCACTATATAGTCTTACCACCAAAGCCAGACTATGAACAAAGCAAAATATCAGCCAAATAACAGGATTCAAATAAAACAATTTACTCTGGTGGTAGAGAACCAGTCCACAAATGCATCAACTTTAGAAATAGTCTGACGGAATTCTTGAAGCTGCAATGTTAAGAGCAGCTGGGTTTTAAATTTTATCATTGCGGCGTTTAAGTCTACCCGGCACAACACGCAGTAATTATTAACATAACTCACTAATCAAGTGGTCAACTATTTATAGACAAATAGTTTAAAGGCTGTTGGAAGCTGCAACCATCCAGGAGGAATACCGTCCACATTAATTATTAACTGTACGGTATAATAAAAAGTAAGGACTAATGTTATGACTCAAATAGAGACTTGATAATGTTTAAGACTTATTTTGGGAACATTTAAACTTTATTTACTCATTCTCTAATAAAATATAATCTTTAAAGGGAGTTGTTTATCATGACTAATTTTGTTATCAAGAACTCCTCTCCAGCCTCAACGACCTACTGAAAGTCGTTCATTATAGGTTAATACTGTACCAAGTCGTTCTTCATTCTAATTTGAATAATATTGGTAAATAAAATATCTAATGTACTTTAACAGTGCTACAATATATAAAATAATCTTTCTCGTCAGTGACAGTCTTTACCAGATTATTTTTTTCTCAATAAATAAAAGCTACTTAGTCTGGCCTGATAATATATTCATTACCATATAATGAACTGCTGTAGACCTGCACAGAGGACACTGCCATCACAACTACAAGGCAATGATCGGCAGCCGAGTGACGACCATAATAAGTGAACAGACTATAACTCGTTTCCGTAATTACTGTATTTTGCCGGTAATACAAATTTTACCGAGTATTGTAATTTCTTCACCCAAACCAGACGGCAAAATGACATCAGCTAATACTTTGTTTATTGATACTGATTATTCCACAAAATATTGATATTATCTTTAACTTATATTAATTGGTGCATCCCTAATATTGTACTGTACTAATACTTTATTGATATATATACTGAAGAGTTGACTAGACACGGCAGTTCACGAGTTACTATTACTGTACAGGTAGTTCTGCTATAACGCGATAATTGTGTTCTTGTAAAATATCCTGTTATAGAAAATCGCGTAATAGAAATAACAGAGCTTATGGAGAAAATAGGGTAAGGTGCAGATTACTCGAAGTCGAAAAAATTTAGTAGTTAGCCTAACACAAAGGATAGCACAGTCTAAATAGATGTTACATTCATATCTAATAATGAAATCATACAGTAAATGTAACACTTTACTTGATGGGGGAGAAGGGTGATTTTGAGGTTGATAAAATCGAGCTTCTCTTCAAGTGTTATATCCTTTCTTTTACGATCATCACTGGGAATTCTATCACCAGAACGCTTCTTGTTGATATTCTTCTTTACTATATTCACAGTTAATACTGTACCACAATATTGGAGAAAGAGTAAGCAAAAATCGCGTTATAGCAAACAAGCGTTCGCGTTATACAAATATCGTTCCTAATTCATAAATCGCGTTAGAGCAAATTCGCGTTATCAAAGCACGCGTTATAGCAAATTCGCGTTATCAAAACACGCGTTATAGCAGAACTCACTGTACTGTACTGTACTTTTAGTTTAGTGAAGAAACCACAATGAGTTACCCTGGACTGGTGCAGTGTGGTGCAGGGCCGTGCAGCAAAAGGCGGTTCACCAGAAATCTCTCGGGTCATTTGTTGGATCCTCCATCTTTAAGTCATCATCCTGGAATGAATAACTAACAACTCTGCACAAATTAAATAGTTTACCTACAGTACATTACAGGCATCCCCCAATACAGAGCACATGTGTCTGATAGTTTCAACAATATGTCTACACTACACAGAAGCAAACAATGAATAAATCCCACTTTGATGCCACTTATCTGTATATGAAAGTAATGATTCTCCCTCACAGGAACATAACCCCCAATATATAAATTACTTCCACCTAATGAACACATTACCAGGAATAAAACTGCTGTATATTAAGGGACACCTGTCAACTAGTTTACTGAATAAATGAAGCATTACAGCACAACTTAAGTGGAGAACAATGCACAGTTACACAACCTTATTTTTACCACAGCTCTTCAACTATTGGCGATATCACTGATAAACTTGAATACAGTATTACAAGTATTATGTAAGCTTGGATACAGTGTACAGTATTACAAGTATTATGTAAGTATTACAATTATTATGTAAGCTTGGATACAGTATTACAAGTATTCTCTAGTTATCCCCTGATTATACTGGTTAACTGCCCCCACAATGTTTTATAGTACTGTACTTGATTATTGATGAACATTGTACAAGGTATCTGTTAGATAAAGAAAATGTTTATTACATTCAAGAGCTGTTGGTAAGAGGAAGGCAAGTACGTAAACATTTTCTCCTCAATTTCTTGTAAGAATGCGGCAACATTAATAAACAAAATGGCATCAAATTAATCAAATTTAAGTTAAAATTGAAAGGAACTAACATTTACAATTATGAGTTACTCACCCAATGACTCTACAAACATCAACAGGCCGTCAACCCAGAACATTAATTTACAATTCTTTACAACTAAATGAAGGGTCCTTGTAAAGTTTAATAAATATTAAAAAAAAATCCACCATTTATAACAGAAGTAAACCACAATCTTCACCAAGTACAAGGTTTATATAGAATACAAGTGTAGTTACCTGTACTGGGAACAACGTATTAGACAAATTGAGAACTGTAGATGCAGGCAAGTTAATAATGCCAGTTATTTGGCTAACTTAAGAAGGATCCTGTTACTGTACAGGACCTTAGAGCCAGCCAGGTGAAGGTACTTGTTGGGGGAATAAGGACTTTGAATATAAATGGTGGAAAATTAAACTAAAGGCAAGAGACTTACTCCTTGTTGGATGCATTTATAGATCACAGAACTGAAGTTTATTAAGCCAAGCCAGTTTAAAAGCATTAATACTGTACACAGCATTATGGGCTACTGGTGACTGACTGGAGGAATGAAATTACACTTGAGAAACAGGAATGCAGACACTGCTGAATATCACAGCCAGTAAACCGTTTGATAAAATATACTGTACTGTATACTCCAGACCAAACACACTGTCTCAAGGAATACAAGTCCATTCAGACTGTAGAAACACTGAGCAAGACAGCCAATCCGATTCCAAATGAAGTCAAGTCAAAGCCCCAAAAGCTTTCAACGTGTGGGCACATCAGACCCCAGACTAAGATAATGTTACACACTCGGATCAGGGCAAGACGAGAGGAGTTAAATAGTGTTCACAAGAGGATGTAAACCTCCCATGTGTGAGTGACAACACTGACATGCTCTCAGTCAAGTATTAAAACATTATCAAAACTAAAGTTGGTAAAATGGCAGTTTCGGCCAATATGCCCCGGTAGTTGATCCTGTGTATTTTAGTGTGACAATCTAATTTCACCTTTAATTCCAGGGAAAAGTAACCGTCTTATCCCCCAAAAGTATGGAAAAACTTCAAATTCATTTCTGCCATTATTCTTGGTTGAGATGGTGTTAAAAATACTCCCAATAAGGAGATGTAACGGTTGGGATGGTTAAAACAGCCCGCCGTGTATTGGTCCAAACTGCATTTATACCATAAAGGTACATAGAGCCCTGATGGGGAGCTTCACGAGTTGTATAATGACCTTCCTGACCTCGTTAAATCTTGTAGTACAGAAGCATAAACAAGCAAAACGTTCCCCAATGACTGGAAAATGACATACCCAAGTCCTATATTGAAACAGATGACTTATGAATAATAACAGTATTGCGAGTGATTGGCATATTGTGTAAATTAAAGCCAATTAGTTCATGCCATTGTCCAGCTTATAGACAAGCGAGGTGTGACTTAATACAGGATTATAAACATGTAATAGCTCATTACTTAGCCTGGTGTTCACAACTAGCAGACGCCCACCCCACTACGAGGCTACAGCTTAAGTCCGAGTTGTGAACTGTTGGAACAATCTGTTGTGACGGCCCTGAGTGTGAGCTGTTTTGTGACTACAGTACTGTACTTGCCAACAGTGTAATATAGCTAGTACATGCCCAGTACTTGCCACAGTAACAGGAGAGCCAGTACATGCCCAGTACTTGCCACAGTAGCAGGAGAGCCAGTACTTGCCCAGTACTTGCCACAGTAGCAGGAGAGCCAGTACTTGCCCAGTACTTGCCACAGTACAGTGAGTAGCCAGTACATACATGCCCAGTACTTGCCACCAGTACATGCAGGAGAGCAGTACAGTAGCCAGTACTTGCCACAGTAACAGGAGAGCCAGTACATGCCCAGTACTTGCCACAGTAGCAGGAGAGCCAGTACTTGCCACAGTAACAGGAGAGCCAGTACATGCCCAGTACTTGCCACAGTAACTGGAGAGCCAGTACATGCCCAGTACTTGCCAACTGTAACAGCCGGTTCATGCCCAGTACTTGCCAAAAGTGCAACAGCCAGTACATGCCCAGTACTTGCCAAAAGTGTAACAGAGTCAGTACTTGCCCATTACACTTGCCAACGTCTAGATGCGTTCGACCGCCTCTAGACCCCAGTGGCAAAGTTTAAAGTGAAGTAGACTTAACATAACACGTGAGAACAAACTTTCTAACCTCAGCCAATAAGGTGACCCACGCTGACGACCACTGAGGCAGCGAACTGGTCTTCAGCAGGGCAGCTACACAACCAATTGGATCCATCATCTGTAAAGAAATAAAGAAGCTTAGGAGTAACAAATAAATATTAAAATCTTTACGGTGACCAAAACTAAAATTAAACCATATTTTGTTAATTTAAATAAAAGCACAAGCCAAAAATAGTAAAGTATTCTCTAGAGTAACTAGTCAATGTGATAGTTAACGACCATTAACCAATGCTTGTTCAATGTTCATTAACTCGTCATTGTGTATCTACAATATTATTTAAGTCTGTTTAAATTATTTCCTTTTAAAATAAATCACTTGGTACAAAATCGAATAATAAATTTAACCACTGAAATAAATTTAAAATAAAACATACCATACCTTTAAAGAACAGCGTCTGTCAAGTGAGAGAGACGACCGGCAGCACTTCCCCCCTCTGTGTCTCCATGAGCACTGCTCCCCACCGGCCAATCACTGCTCTGTGTAACCTCTTCCCGCCTAAGCCTTGTCCGAATGAGGAATCCTAACAAAATATTTACAACCTCAATCGTATATACAAATTTTAATACAAGTTTTAAGGTAAATTTTGGTGTAAATTAATTTATATCGTAATATAGAAAAAATAACAATCAGGAAGACCTTACGGAAAAATAAATACAAAGATAAATCCAATAATATAATCCAAATTCTTAAGTTTCGGAGACAGTCATGTGTTGACCATTCAGGGCTGCCAACATTACCGAGTTAGACAGGCCGGTCAGTGGCGAAGAAGATAAACAAAAGTAATTTCAATATTATACAATAAAAAAAGTATTAAATACCTTTTCTCTTATTACCTCATCAAACCACGGCCCTAAATAAACAGTTATTAGAATGAGATTAAATACAAGACTAATTAAATGACTTTGAGAGATAGCCTATTAAAAGCGGGATTAAATGACTTTGAGATTAAAAGCCGTATTAAACAACTTTGAATGAGATTCAAACTGTTACAATAGTATTAATTAAAATAATAACAATAACAATAATCAAACTATGGCATTATAGAAATGCCATAAAAGTGTGTCCCAGGGAGTGCTAGTGTGTCCCAGGGAGTGCCAGTGTGTCCCAGGGAGTGCCAGTGTGTGTCCCAGGAGTGCCAGTGTGTCCCAGGGAGTCCAGTGTGTCCCAGGGAGTGTCCAAGTGTCCCAATAAGTACCAGTGTCCCAGGGAGTGCTAGAGTGTCCCAGGGAGTGCTAGAGTGTCCCAGGGAGTGTCCCTGGGAGTGCTAGTGTGTCCCAGGGAGTGCCAGAGCCCCTGGTGGAGCCACCTCCCCTGAGAGGGCTCTTGGGGCCGTTACCTCCCCTGAGAAGGCCCTCTAGAGGTGCCGCAGGTCCTGGGGGCACCGCTGTCCCTAGGAGGGCTTCTAGGGGCGAAAATGCCCCCGGCAGTGCCCCTGTTGGCACCACCGCCCCTGGGAGGGCACTTGGGGGAGCTGCTGGCCCTAGTAGGGCCTCTGGGGACGTCACTGTCCCTGGGTGGTCTTGCCAGGGCTCGTAGGGGCGCCGCTGGGGTCACCACTGCCCCTGCGAGGAATGTACTGGCTCTGTTATGCACTATTGGCAACTTGAGGACAATGGTTTAATCCTTTGATGATGATACTTTAACCCTTTGAGGAATATGGTTGCACCCTTTGACAATAATAGTTTAATCCATTGAGGATGATGGAATAAACCCTCAGATAATTAGATTTAAACCCTTTGAGGACTGGTATCAAACCCTTTAAGGAAGATGGTTCAACCTTTTTGGGATGATTATTTAGCCCTTAGAGAATGGCAGTTTAATCCTTTGACGATGATGGTTCAGCCCTTTAAAGACAATGATTCAAACACATGAGGACGACTATTAATGACTCGTAATATTTTAATTACTTTTGCCATGATAATTACTCGCCACCTATGATTTTTCGATGGCACTTTTTGGTGTTATTCTGGATGTCCTTTAGTTAAATGCATACAATTTCAATTCTGAGAAAAAGATTACAGTATATTGATAAGAAATCCACTAAGAGGTGAAGCTTACTGTTTCGGCCTGAAATCTCGATCTTTGGGTTTTTCAAAATCTCGATACTTGTATAGGTACTCCTGAGCACTGATCACGAATATTTGATTAGAAATTTGATAGGGTAATTAGTGGTCCTAATGACACTTGGAATGTCTTAATGACATTTTTCGGTGCTAATTACTCGTCATTTATTACCGAGTGTTGTTTAGTTTATTTGATCTCATACAGAATGTAGCAAATATATCCAACAATGATTGTTAAGTGTTCAGCAGTTGAAGTTATTGGATAATAGCCACAATGTTTGCAGAATGGTGAGAAAGAACTACAAAATGGGATTGGAGTTGGAGGAAAATGGGAAAGTTAAGCCAGAGAATTTCACAAACTATTTACAGTATAGTGCATAATTTTAAGGAGACAGAAGGTGACCGTGTTTTATGTACACAACACAACTTGTGCTCAAAACTAAACATATACTGATGTATATTTATTAACGAGTACAGTTACGTACCTTAATGCCAGGTTTAAAATAAAAAGTATGTAAAGAAAAATACATATCAAACATATATAAACAATATATCAATTTACATTTCCAGATTATAAAATTACCAGAAGCTTTACACAGGAGTGTGCACACAGGTGAAAATAACGACACAAAGGCTACATATTATAAAACTCTGGAAACTTTTATACAATACCAAGCAGATTGGAAAAAAATAAAAACATATAAATAAAAATATAAAAAATTGCATATGGCAAACAGCCCAGCAACTTGCCTTTGCTCTCCCCTTGGCCTAACCCACTGTGTCCTGCTTTCTTTTTCCTTCTTAATATTTTAAATTCATTTTGCCAGCCACACTTCCTCTGTTACCTGGTAATAAGGAATTTTGGCAGGTTTTTGACAATGGCCTACCAATGAGATACAACATCTCACCTACAGTTTGAGAATGATATGTTAAAACACTATAAATATATCTGGGTCCATGCTATTAAAAACTCATTTCAGTATCATATACAGTAAAGAGGTGTTATAACAATTTTATATAAAAACACATGTTAGACCAAGACTTGTAAAATATCCTAAATTTACCAATAAAAATTCAAGTATCAATTTAACAGAGTAGTATAAATATTTATAACAAAACAGTCTTATCTACAACAAACTGATAGGATAAAAATATTAAGACAGAAATACAAATTCAGAGATATACAAAGAAAGATAGTTGATGAATGCATACATACACACATTTACATAAAGAGAGATATCTATAAGCATAGATATATAGTCACAGATAAAATTAAAACAGTGTTATTGTACCTACTAAATTCAAATTACCAGGACACAAGGACTGCCCCCCCCCCATCACAGGATTTTCGTCTGAGATTATTCCAATCCGTGAACACTTTCAAGTACACTTTATAATGCTAACACATGTAGAACACCGAGTGGAATTCTTAAAAATAAACAAAATTTGCATTTCTAAGCAAAACTGTACATTGCTTTATAATCCTTGCATAATAGCAATATTACACAGGTACAGTTTTCCAAAGATAAAAATAAGCTTATAACCCAAACTTGTGAGTTCTATATGGCGGTAGTGGTGGCCGGGCTGGTCGGAGCAGTGGGTGGCACGGCAGAAGACGGGGAGGTGCTCAGGATAGCCGATGGGACGACGGCAGAGGGGGCAGTGGGTGGTGCCAACGGTGATCCTCCGGCCAGGAGAGGAGCAGCCTTCACGTCAACATAAGGAGGTGGAGCTTCTGCACTCGAATCTCTACGCGGAGGAGAAAGCATCTCTTGCCGGTCACGGTCGCGCTCACGGCCGGGCCTGAATGCCTCCAACAAGGCATCAACTTTGTCTGGAGTGGGACCCCAGCGTGAAAAGCCAGCATCGTTCTGAAGCCAAACAGCAACTGTTCCATGCCCACTCTTCAGAACAACTTCTGACCTGAAAGAATACCAAATAGAAATGTTTAATGAGGCTTACTCAAGTCTTAGCAATATTCTTCATATACTTCACCTGAAGCTGTGTGTTTAACAGCCCAGGATAATTGCTGAACAATGGATAGTGATTATTGCAATTATCATGATTAATAAGGTGTAATAATAAAATGCATTGCACATTAATTATAATAACAGTGGTCCCTCAGTTAACGAGCACAATTCGTTCCAGAGGGTTGCTCGTTAACCGAAAAATTCGTTAACAAAAACCTTTGTTTCAATGGTTTTTGGGTAATTGGTTCCAGCTCACCGAAAATTACATACAAACTAAAATTAAATGCAGTAAAGTACACTTGCTTTGAGGTGTGCATGTGGAAGGCTCCTGGTTGATGATGATGGTGATGGGAATTAGAATGGGGGTGGAGGAGAAGAGAAAAGAGAAGGCATTGGGGTGGAAGAGAAGTCACCCCATGCTGCCATTTCATCCATAAAATTTTAGTTCACTTGGTGTAATTCAAGATTATTTTCTTTAAGTCAACACTGCACTGTGCTATATATTATCAATATGTAAAATATATTTCAAAATGACCAATAATTTGACTGGAAACACAGAAAAAAAGCGTTTGCGTTGAAGAGTCTCAAACAAGATGTTCCTTCCTCTGAGCTGGTAAACAAACTGACGCCAAGCTTGATGTGTTGAGTGGCTGTTTGGCGTGCAAAAAACTAGTTTCCTGTACTTCAACTGTGTTCAATAATTGTAAAATGACTAAAAAATTTAATATAAAACTTTTAAAATTATTGAATAGTACAACCTTCTTGATATTTACTAAAATGGTAGGAATTTAAGCCCTAAAACCGATTACTGTATTGGCGGACTAATACTACAGCTGGTGGGCAGCCAAATGCAGGCGAAAACATGTTGGGAAAAATTCGTAAGGAATTCGTTAACCGAGGGTTGGCTAGTTAACCGAAGTGAAGAATCTTATGGAAGGTAATTTGTTAAACGAGGCGCTCGTTAACCGAGGGATCGCTGTAGTGTACATTTTGGATCAACAATTTAAATGGAAATAATTAGTTTTGTTCCAGAGGCCAAGACAAACTGTTCCAAAACTGTTTTAATAAACACTAAACATCATACATAATCCATAAAAAAATTCATTAATACATAGATATTGTATAAAAAGTAGTTCTGTATTACATAAACAGCTCGTTCCCTTCTCATAATTTCGTGAGGGTTGTGCCAATACACCATCAAGGCAGGTGCCAGGTTGGCTGTGACCACATTATGTTAACAAAGAACCAGGAATTTAATACCACACAATAATTCATCTAGAGACAGGTGTGTGATTTTGGGAGGGATGAAAAGTGATTATTTTAATGTAATGTTTTCTTAACCCGGTACCATAGGCACCTAAATAATACGAGAATTATGGTAAAATTGCATAATATTGTATTTATAAGTCACAGTAGAGCATTGAAGTGATATTTATACTGGTGTATTATATATTTTTTATTCTAAGTCAAATTCAAGCACAGATATAAACAAACTGTGGCAGATGATGCTCAGCCACAAATGCTGAATATTTGACCACTAAATTAAAAGAAGGGGAAGTAACAGAGGTACTCTACAGTAGGGTAAGGATATATCGCGACTTTTTATCATGATTTTTTTTATCGCGAATACGTACCAAAATTATCGAAATTTTCCAATATATAGAGATAAATTATTTATTTCGGGAGGGAAATCAGGCAGGAAATATTTAAAATGTACCGCCATAGCAAACAAATGTGTTATTTGCTCACCAGAGGCGTCACCGTGGCTACTCACCCACGCATTCACACTCACCCGCTCTGTCTTTCTGAGTGCGTGACGAGTAAGCAGCCGACTCTGCTGCAGATTACGACCTCTAAGGTGAGTGTAAATGGGTTGCTAGTGACGTGAAGATAATGGAAATTATTTAATACTGTAACTAATAATTTTGGTTTGTTCATTTATGTAGGTGTGGGATAGTCAAGTGAGGGTGGCAGTGTGGCGTCAGCTGTCGAGTCTGGTGTTCATTGATATTAATATTGAAATAGCCTGTTGTTCCTGAGTCTAGTGTTCATTGGTGCTTTAATTAGTAAGAAAATAAACTCGTTAAGTCAAGTTTAGTCACTTTTATTGGCCTCCAGAACCTAACCCTATTTTCCCCATTGATTACATGTAATCATATATCGCGATTTAGTATATAGCGAACATCGTTGGACCCTATCTCGCAACACATCCTGACCCTACTGTACCTGTGAATTTAAGAACACAAATTTGTATTTTTGCCAATTATTGCAACTCCATTGTATAATGTGAAGGCAACTGGCTAAAAGTGACTAAAGTGAGTGCATGGAAACTACAATAAACAACAGCCAACATTTTCACAATATAAAATAGGTGTATAAAGAAACAGAAATATGAAACACAGTTAACTGGTGAATGGTTGACAAGATTTCAAATTCTAAAAATTTGGAAAGTAACTTTGGCAAGATAAGGAATTAATAGAGACAAAGAGGACATGAGTGTAGAGCATTATAATAACACTGTGAGGAGAGCTGAGAAGAGAAGAGGTATAAGCTTACTCTTTAAGTGAGTGAAACATAGGAACCCAAATGCAAATGTGATAATTATGTACAGTATTTATGATTGGGATATGAGGAAAATAGTGAAAGGAAAAAAGTAGAGATATTGGAGTAAAATAGAAATGAACCTAATTAAAGATCAAAGGATAAGAAGGTATGGACGGATGAACAAGAGTTATAGAGCATATAGCAAGTGACAGAATTAAGAGACTGAGAGATCCAGACAACAGGAGAAAGGGAAGAGTGAGAGAGAAGATAGGACTGTACAGAGTAGTGAATGAACATGTGAAAGAGCAAATCTGGAAGACATGAGTGATGAAGCCAAAGTTATACATGAAATACTGAGTGTACAACAGTACTGTACTGTATATAGCTACTGTGTAAAGTAATAGTTGACCAGCTAAGTCCTATCATCTAGTGTCTGGTACAAGTTACTATTGTAATTCAGAAGTGAGTTTTGTATAAAGTTTCACCAATTAAAAATCTGCAATTTTAAATAACAAAAGAAGAAGTACAGTACTCACTTTGACATAAAATGTTGGAAGCCATGTCGATATTCGTGCTCAAAGGGCAGGAGAACGATTTGTTTTCTGTTGAATCTGCAGAGAAAGCAACTTCAATTTCTTGGACCAGTTGACTGCACAATGATCATATTAAAAACTAAATTTATATAACTAAATGATGATAAAAAGCTTCTTTGAGCCAAGATAAAGCTAAACTTAATCACATGAGATCATTTTGTGGATAAGTTGGTAGTCATTCTAAAAAATTGAGCAGTTATGTTTGGTGTCAAAAGCCTCATAGACATGATGCACCTTAACCCTTTAGCTTTCATATTCCACTGTGCTGTAGTTGCATGAATTTGCTTTTGGCTTCACTGCAACATTCAACCATTTTAAACCTGGTCAGAAAATGTATACTCTTTCTTCGAAGTTCGACCAATGTTGCAGGCTTTTAAAACAAGTGTTGCCACCTGTCGACTAAAACTGGAAGGAAACCCTGTGTGAAAACCTATCAGCTAGGGTGCTCCTCTTTATGCCTTTTCTCACCATTAATCCAGTAAGATATGAGGACCATTAGCCAATATGTCCACATTAGTGATATATATAACCCAAAATATGTATACAACACAGGGAGAGAAATAAGTGTTTCATTTTTAGCCTCTTAATTTTTAGTCTCTTACCACTTCTGCCCAAAACTAGTGCCTAGTGTGATTAAATACAATAATACCCTGCATGACTTTTACCATGGAATGAAGCACTCCAAAGTTATAGAACTAAAGGTGTATGATAATGTCACATTTAAAAGGTAGAAATATACTTTACTTTATGTCTTCAAGAAGCACTTATAAATACTGTAGCACACACCTGGATGCTTCTAAATGAAGAAGTGCTGAAGGGGCAGGTTCTCTCCACTCGGGGACAAATACAATGAAAGACAGTGGCTCGTGAGACTCGGACAACAGCTTCTCAAAATGCCTCACTGTTGCCTCCATAAGTTCCTCACAAAATGGGGGATTTGCTTCAAAAGATCCACACACAGGCTTGAAATCTAAAATTGGTCTGTAATACAGAGAATATTTGTCTTACTATGGTTACTCAAGAAAATTATATTTGTGCAAGATAACAAAATTCTCAACTAGCTAGCCACACATTTAAGTCTGGTACTATACTGTACTGTACTGTACTGTACTGCATAGCTATGAACCATGTTCCTTACTCAAATACATGTCGTGCAACAACTGCACCAAGCTTCATAACAAATTACAATATATTAATTAAATCAATTCAAGTTTTGTGAAACAACATTTCCATTACACTTCGTGTTTTATAACTACTGTACTGGTGGTTATACCTTCATTTATCATAACAATTTATTTATGATTGAGCAATTTTATAACAGTAAATAACTTATACTTTTATTTCAATCTGCAGTACAGTAGTATTTTTCCTTTTTCTTAAATATTTTATTTACTTTTTTATGGAAAACATGTACTATACTGTACTGTAATTACCAACTACAGTATGCGTATCTAAAGAAAATTATCCATACTTATATTCAAAGCAGTTTGGCCAGTTACAGCATAATGTAATGATATTGTTTACAAACCAAAGGAATCTTTGGAATCTAACTGCAGGCTCTGACAAAACTCTCCAGGTATTCCTTCCATTTGCCAAACAATTTCCCCTTTAAGAGATACTATAAGGAAAGGAACCATGTTACTGTGTGCTCTCTGCCAAGCCACACACCTTGTAACCCTTTAATATTGTCCACTAATCACTACACAATCTTCTTGTAATAAACACTCTCTTCTTCTCTTTTACCAACAGGTTTAAGTTACCTAATATAAAGAAAAGAATAAAACTAACAAAAAACTAAATAAACGTGCATATCAGAGTGTTTTTCATATTAGGTAACTTGTTTGGTTAGTGTGTTCAACTACTACAGTAATTATCCATTTAGCATGGTTCTGTACACATACAAGTCTAGGATGATAACTTAACACACCAAGTTCAACTGCATTTTACATTTAAATGAACTAAAAAGACTGAAATAGAAATGCAATAGTCATTAAATCTTTATTAACAGCAAAACTTTTATTTATAATTATAAGAAAAAACTTCTCACCCTCTGGAGCCAAAGTAGGAGTCTGTGTCAGGGAACGCTGAGCAGTATTGTCTAAAGTAACAATTGAGGGGAGACCCAAAGCACTCAAACGTTACACTGAAATGTTTATGTAGGCACTCTAGCACTGTCACTGGCAGCCCACCTTGCGTCCCATGGCCCTGTAACATCAAATATGATATAAAACATTTCTGTAAATAACAAAGCAAGTTTATAAAATATAAAAAGTTGTAAATAACTGTATTAGTAAACAGCCACCAGTAGTACTGTACAGTACAAAATTCTTCAAACACTGGAGCATCCGTTGCCAGTATTGGTGAGACAAGTGATAGGTTTTAGGACTGGATAGAGTAAAACAATGAAGAGTATGTTGCAATGGTTATTTATCTGATACAATATTGTTTGTAAGGTGAGATAAGACTATGGCCAGTACAGGACTGTACTGTAAAGTATAAAATTTTGAAAAAGATACAAATCATCATATTTTCGGGTAGATATGCGTAACTTTCTTCATTTATTTTTACTCAGTTAAACGCACACACCATCCAACATACAGTGAGTTCTGCTATAACGCGTGTTTTGATAACGCGAATTTGCACTAACGCGATTTATGAATTAAGAACGATATTTGTATAACGCGAACGCTTGTTTGCTATAACGCGATTTTTGCTGACTATTTCTCCAATTTTGTGGTATTAACTGTGAATATAGTAAAGAAGAATATCAATAAGAAGCGTTCTGGTGATAGAATTCCCAGTGACGATCGTAAAAGAAAGGATATAACACTTGAAGAGAAGCTCGATTTTATCAACCTCAAAATCACCCTTCTCCCCCATCAAGTAAAGTGTTACATTTACTGTATGATTTCATTATTAGATATGAATGTAGCATTTATTTAGACTGTGCTATCCTTTGTGTTAGGCTAACTACTAAATTTTTTCGATTTGGAGTACTCTGCACCTAACCCTATTTTCTCCATAAGCCCTGTTATTTCTATTGCGCGATTTTCTATAACACGATATTTTACAAGAACACAATTATCGAGTTATAGCAGAACTACCTGTACATAAAATAAAAAAAATAATTGTCCTTAGGGCAAATACATAAAGGGAATACTGTATACTTTTCTTTGCACAAGAGTTAGCTGGCTTAGTGGGGGGAGTGGGAGGACGGCTGGTGGTGGGGGGGAGCGTTGCTTGGGAATCATGAGGGTAGCTTCGCCGCTGCTATGGTGAACAGGGAGTACAGATGTACTGTGTATGCAAATGGCGACTGTGTTAAACTTTCATTTGGCTTTTATTTATTGGTTTGGCAACAGTATTTTTTGTTGTAACTTATTTAATGGTATTATTTTAATTTATTCCTCACATTTACTGGTACTATATATTGTCTCAAGAAAACTATGACTACAGGAGGAAAATACACACAAAAGGTTTTCCTAAATACTCCCTGCTAAAATGGGGGAGGGGGAGGGGGTGCATCTTATATGGCTGAGCGTCTTATATGCCGTAAAATACTGAAATTATCATATAATAGGGTAAAGGATTAAGTTGTCACTGACCTCATTAAGGTTGGTCCCTAGGAGTGTTTGATAGCGCTTCAGTAAACACCATACTCTTGGCAGGAACAACTCAAACTTTCGGTCATCAAAACAATTGTAACGGTAAAGTTGCTCCTGGGAAAGAATGAAGGCATTAATTAGTGGATTTCCATCACAATCATTAACTATACCATATTAAGTAAATACCATTATGTTAACTTAATGAACATCAGCAAAATTATTTTATCATTAAGAAAAGAAAGAATGGTAACTGTGTACAGTACTAACTAACACTGATCAACAAGTGCAGTGCTGTACAGTAAGTGAGTAATTATTATCAACCATCAGCATTATGGCAAACATTATCACTTACACTCTCACTCATTTACCTTTCATCACATCAAATATATTTTCTACAATAAATATATAAATAACTTTTGTAAAATCTGACTCAATAAGATGAATAATTAATTATAACAAAGATATTAAACTTATAAGACAATTACATAAGACTAAAAATATAATAAGTTAGAAAAATGGAGACTAATAAAAAAGGTGCTTATTATTACCCTGACGTTAACTCTCTACCAACCATCTTATGGCGAGTGTCAGATACTTTTTTTTTTACATAGGATGTGAGTTAGAACCATCATATATTCTGATAGATCCTTTTGACAATCTAGATACATAATCTGTCATCTGGGCTGTCACCCATAATTATCAAGCCATCACATGAATGGGTTAAGTGCCTTGGATTCTTTCCTTCTCCCAGCATGCGATAGGAAGTTAACTTGAGCTGAGGCTTGATGCAGGGAATCCAATACTGTACTACCTAAAATAAGAATAGATCCAAGGGCAGACCTTTGAAACTTCCCAGTGCCAAGCAGGCTGTTAAAGGCACTTCATCAGTTATTAGCTAAAAAACTAGCACATGCCTCGGTGCCGCCAAGGAGGATTGACGACAGATACAGACAGGTCTCAGAAAAATGGATATACAGTGATCCCTCGGTTAACGAACGCCTCGGATAATGAAATTTCGGTTAACGAATTGCCTTCCATAAGATTCTTCACTTCGGTTAACCAAAAAATTTTGGTTAACGAATTCCTTACGAATTTTTCCCAACATGTTTTCGCCTGCTTTTGCCTGCTCACCAGCTGTAGTATTAGTCCGCCAATACAGTAATCGGTTTTAGGGCTTAAATTCGTTACCATTTGAGTAAATATCAAGAAGGTTGTACTATTCAATAATTTTCCAAGTCTTATATTAAAGTTTTTAGTCATTTTAACAATTATTTAACATAACTGAAGTACAGGGAACTAGTTTTTAGCGCACCAAACAGCCACTTGACTCACCCAAAATGGCGTCATTGTGTGTCCCTGCTCAGTGAGGAAGCATCTTGCTTGTGGCTCTCTTGAACATAAACTATTTTTATGTTTTTACAGTACAATTATTGATCATTCTGAAGTTTATATTACATATTGACAATATATAATGCAGTGCAGTGTTGATTTAAAGAAAATAATCTTGAATTACACCTAGTGAACTAAAATTTTGTGGGTGAAATGGCGGCATGAAGCATGGGGTGACTTCTCCTCCACCCCCATTCTCATTCCCATCATCATCAACCAGGAGCCTTCTACATGCACACCTCAAAGTAAGTGTACTTTACTGCATTTATTTTTAGTTTGTATGTAATTTTCGGTGAGCTGGAACCAATTACCCAAAATCCCATTGAAACAATGGTTTCGGTTAACGAACGACCTTCTGGAACGAATTGTGTTCGTTAACCGAGGGACCACTGTACTGTAGAAGAACCAATGCCAAGAGGTAAAGCACCCTAAAAGTGCAGTCCAGATGTGTGATCCAAATGATTGAGAAAATATCCTATAGATGTACACTAGGAAAGCTGTTTTGGAGTAATAACTCAAAATTAATGCTTATTACTTAAAATAGGATTTTAACTACTGTACAGCAAATGACTATTTTCACTTGTGAGAGAGAATGGAGCCAACAGCATCTTGTCTTAAATGCCCACAAGTGCCAACTCACTGTCGACTCATATCCTAGTTAATATCATCGATCATTTCACCTTAATTAGTTGTACATGCTGCAGATAAACTTTATAGTAAACTAAAACTGAGGCTTTTTGCTTTGTGTTAATTCCAAAGTAAACAAGCTGTTCCCTAATGGAGAATATGCCCACAGCTGACAAATTCCCAAAGAGGCTACTAGGAGGAAAAATCCCTCATCATTCCTCACTATATGTGCTCCTGGGATACCAAGCCTTGAGTGAACCCACAGTTAAAGCTGCCATATGAGGTGACAACTCAGACTTAACAGGACATAACTTTTCTCAGTGAGTGACTCAGAACTGAATCTTCTTGCTGGACCTCCACAATAGTTTCCTGGTAACCAAGAGAGAGAAAACATCAAGTGTAGACCCATCTCACATCCCACTTGACCATATATCATGTGTTATCCCCCATCCCCCCCAACACCAGCCTACATCGAGTCAGTTATCATCAAGTCTTAAATTGAACTCAATCTGAATATACTTGTATACACTGGGCCAGACCCAAACTTGGAATAAAATTTCTGAGCTAGTCAAAGAAAACCTATATATGATGGCACACTATCAAGACTAGTGTTAGCCTGCACGAACAACAACTACAGTACCATAACAACGCATACTTCAACCCTCAAGTAAACTGATGGCTGTAGGTGTCTCTGTTTTGGCTAACATGGCTGTTGTTGGGAGAGAATAACTGACCATAATCATCAAAGTTTTATGGTCATTTTCCACACTTGCATGGGTCAGCAGCTCTCCTTACTGCACAGTCTCACTTGTCAGGTTCTTCACTCTAATGGCTACTGTCATTTTTTACCTCTACCTATGTCATTCTTGGCCTGTCCCCAGCTCTCCCCTATACACTTACTAATGCACCTATTAACCCAATTGGTCTAAACCATTCTCTCCACATGCCCAAACCATTTCAGTTTAATTTTGCTCAAAACTCTCAATACCCAGTCACCCTCTTGGCTCTGAACAAGGTTTCCTGTCTTTCAGTGTCACATCTACTGTACATCACCATTCTCATATCAGCTTACTCACAAGTCTACATGTCATCCTTTTTAACTGTCTACCTTCTAATGCCATACAATAAATCTCTCTGCTGACCAATCATACCCTATGGCACCTGGCTGTTGCTGACCAATCATACCCTATGGCACCTGGCTGGCCCTATTACAGGAGCTTCACCTCAAAAACCACTCAATGGAAGACCACGCACACACCATAAATGCATTTGGATTTTTTTATTATCAAGAATTTTCTAACCTGAGCTCTGATGCAGTACAAACTTGATGAGGTAATCCAGAACAATCACACGAAATTTCCTAAGTAAAAAATTAACTTACTAATTTGTGGAAGTACGGTGTATTAATTCTGAGCGCCTCTCCATTATATCGTAAACTAGTGGTATCCTTGTCTTGCATAAAGTCAATGGGCGGCGGCCGCGGACTCGGGGTTGTAAATTGCACCGGATAACACCAAACTTTCCGTAGTCCACTCACTGCAGGCACTCCAACTTCTGAGTGAAAATTGTAAACTTTAGCATTTTATCATTTCCTGTGGCTAAAACAGGAGAAAAAAGGTTAAATAACATTCTCCACCTAAACACTACAGGTAAGAGGTCATTCAGGTAAAAGTAATTGTGATCCCTTTACAGCGGTCTTGAAATATTTTTATTAAGACCAGACAGTTTAACTAAATTGATAGAGAGAACATTTTGTTTGGTTTCTAAGAGAATATTTGCAGACAAGTCTTCTCATTAGAAACTCTGAACAAGGTTATAATATTAACTAATTCAAATTATATCAAAATTATTAATACAAAATAATTTTTTACCATACTGCACCCATGGAATAAGACTTATTTTAGCTTTTAATGGGTTAATTCTTACAAAAAGTTTATCCTTTGTTTGACACTTGACTCACACTGTTGACCACTTTACAGTACAGTACAGTACAGTATTATACTTACCCCTAATATTATTTTCCTCCAGAATTTGAAGATGTTTTTCTCTAATTTTTTTAGCGTGTTCGACGGAAAGGTTATATATCTTGGTACAGATGCCCTCCACACTTTGCTTTGCAGCCTCCGTGAGATGAGGTTGGCATTGCCGCTGCAATTAAATAGAATAGAGGTTAAAAAATATTCACGAGTCTTCCATTTCGCCATTTTTCCCGACTTTGACTTCCGACAATAAAGACACAAAGATGGTGGAGCTAAGGAGTAAGTACATTGTGCTGCAATAAACATACTGTACAGTACGGTAATGTAACAACCAAAGCTGTCACAACATAATTATATGAGATGACTAACATCAGTTAAGATGCAGTACATCCTTACCTTAAGGTGAGCTAATCTGTCCATATAATCATCAAAAGTGGCACCAACAGTTCTCCGTAGCCACTGGAAGGTGTCCTCAACATTCCATTTAACTATTTTGCGACTCTCTTGGCTGGCATTTCGACTATGGGGGAACAAACAATCATTATAAATATTGGCAGATAATACAAAAAAGTAGGGCCTTCACTACTAACATACAGTGCCCTCATAGTCAGCACTGTACTGTACCATACTGTACTGTACTGTACAGAGCCAGATTCAGGAGTGGGCAAAGTGGGATGGGCAGCTGCCCAGGGGCCTCCACAATCTGGGGGCCTCCACATATTACAATATTTTACTTATTTGTTTATTCATTTGGATTATTTTTGTTTTCATTCTTTAAAATTCATGTTTATCTATTCCATCACGTAAAACTATGTTCAGCAAGAAGCGTGATAGAAATTAGGCTAGCTACTTGGACAGAACCATTATTTAAGTAGAGGTTTATCTGATTAATAATGCAAAGAATCATCTCTGTAATAACTAATAATATATTCTTTTCTGTGAAGTCTCTTGAAAATTTTTGACATGTGCGGTAGTAGTTATATCAGGGCTGGTCGACTTGAAACCACATGAATGACTCCAGTCATGTCTCACTTTCGTGTGTGTGTGTTGGGAATTTGTACACTATCAATAAATATACAGTTAATTACAAATTCCTCAATGTTCTAATTTCCTCAATATAACTGCATATGGCTTCAAAATTCTCCCAAGAAGTGTTCAAATTTCAAAATTTTCCTGGGGGGCTTACAGCGCCCCCCCGGAACTCCCAGATGTTTAGGCTCGCTTCACTCGCCACCCCACCCTCTTGAGTAGTTGTAATGAGGGGGGCCTCCACAGGTCTAAATCCGGCACTGGTACTGTACCATACTCTACTGCACGGTAATAGTAAACCATATGAACCATTAAGTCAAAATAAATAAATCATGGTAAAGTTCCTTCAATTTTAATCCCTAATATCAAGATATTTCTGAAATCATAATTTTTTTTTAACAAATGGTTTTAGCCAACCCTAGTTTTTCAAAGTCCCTTTTTGGTGTTTATGTATTATTCTGGATGTACTTAAGTAGTTAAACGCAATGAATTTCAATTCTGAAAGAAAAGGTGTTTTCAGCCTAAAATTCTATAAGGTTTACCATTTTGGCCATAATCTTGATCTCACCGATTTTGTTCAAAATCTCAATACAGATACAGTTTATGTACTCCTGAACATGCTGATTAAGGATCTGTTATCTGCAATTTAATATCTGTATGTTTACATATCCAAATGACATCTAAACAAATCAGTTACTTTTCTAACGCTAAATACTCACCGCAGATGGTTTTTCCAAAGCATAACAGCATGTTACCAGTAATCCATTCATAACAGCATGTTACCAGTAATCCATTCATAACAGCATGTTACCTGTAATCCATTCACTAAAATGTTGAAATTGAGGGGAGGTGGGGAGAGGGTGTACAGGCAGGTAACTACACCCACATGATGGTGTTGTATGCTACTGAGCTTATATACAATAGCGGGGGGACCACCTAGAACGGAACCTTGAATAGAAAGCTGTTTATTAGGATAAAATGCTGATGCAGTATATGAGAATTTTTTTAGATTTTCCTGATTCCTTAAAATAAATGTACGTTGAAATTAAAGAAAATGTACCGAGGGTCAACCCCAAGTTACTCATGACGAGAAAATATTTCTCTCCAATTCTCAGCACGTGAATGTTCGGTCAATTACAGTACACACTTGTAAACACATTAGTGTTCACATTATTAACACCATATTACAACAGTCACACTCATACACCCTCACCATAATCACCCTGACACCCTCACCATAATCACCCTGACACCCTCACCATAATCACCCCGACACCCTCACCATAATCACCCTGCCACCCTCACCATAATCACCCTGACACCCTCACCATAATCACCCTGATACCCTCACCATAATCACCCTGACACCCTCACCATAATCACCCTGGCACCCTCACCATAATCACCCTGACACCCTCACCATAAGGTAATAGAGGAATGTGATGATAAAGTTCAGCTCAAGGACATAACAACCTGACAGTTGAAGGAGATGCTCTACTACTGCCCCACGCCGTTGTACCACCGAGAACCTGATACTGCTAACACCAGGATTTATTGTTCTTTAGCTTTCAACACAACTTGTTTATTCAATTTATAAACCCAATTTATATTCTTAATTATTTATTTATTTAGTTTAAGAACCTTAGGCTGAGGTGCTGCAGAAACAGACCAAACTTAAGACTGAAAGGATTACTTTACTTAGTCTTTTACATATACAGTTATGAGCTACTGTGTGAGAAAGATATTGAAACGCATAAAATTACAGTAATGAACAGACTCGGCCATTCCTTGACAAGCAACATCACTTACCCATTATATAATGTATTCATAACTGCTCATTTTTTAATCCCCTTTAAGATGCACCTCATGTAAATAGTACAAGAGCTTACCTCACAAATTAGGTGAAAATGCTATGAGGACATTTGAATGTGATGTACAGTACAGTAGGTACAAGTGCTATCACGTGACTTGGCTACAAAACAAATCCTGCCTCACTGTGATGTTAAGTCTCGAAGCTCTGACCAAGAAAAATGTTTTTGGTCAGTCTATCATTCTTACTCCTTAACACTGTGAGCTGAGGTGGAAATTTGTTACCTGAAAATCTCCCACTTTTTCACTTTTTGCAGATTCATTATCCATGGCACTCTCCAGAAGCGAACATCTCGTGTTCATCAAAAGTTTCCTGTTTACACAGGCATAAAACATTAAATAGAAAAATATACAATAAAGTGGATGGATGAGTATAAACAAAAGAATACTGATGACGAGCTCATAAGTGCAGAGTTACGGTCACAACAATGACTGCTATCATAAATGTTACAATTACCTGGTTTCTATCATTCTCTTAGCTGCTTCAGCATACTTGGATAGCTGCTTTCTAGCTTCACCTGTAAACTTGGGTCGCTGCAGCTTGATAGGGATGTCATTCATGATTTCACGATACATGGACTGGCTCACCTCTGGGAAACACTGGCTGGGCAGAAGTGGGTCCCAACCATGATCCACAACCTTTCGCTCCATTAACCATCTGCTGAATGAATCCCGTGGTGCATCAATGCCTGTAATAATGTCAGCAAACATCAGTGAAAATTGTCATCCACATCCTATAAACTATATTTCCCTACTAGAGAGAAGCTTATCATATATATAGCCTACACACTCCCTCACCTCAACATGTTCATTATTATTGTATGCATACTTCACACTCAAAAATACACTTAAACAGTCTTATTACAAGTTCAGAGTTCCAGAAAAATAAGTTAAGAGTTTGTTTATGTTCCATTCGATTGATTATCTTTATATATACTGTACAGTACAGTATACTGTGCAGTCATACTAACATACAGTAATTATTGTGTTCACATATCTTCTGAAACTAATATTAGAGAAATAAAGCTGTACACCAGTGAGACTTTGTGGCCTTCAAGTCTGAGTACTGTAGTATGTGATAAGCGGCTCCTAAAATTATGGCACAATGTACATGAAACAGCATGCACAGTGTAGAAAATCAAGACTGAAATTCCACCAGGTTACAAATAGCTTTTTTAAACTATCTCAAAGTAGATAATTCTTTACACAAAACTGAGAACATATCACACACACACAAAAAAATAAATAATTCAAGTAAGAAACTCTTCCCTGTAAATACCTTCTCGGGCCTGACACATTTCTTGGTAACCGAGGCGCAATTTTGCAACAAGTTGTCCCCGCAAGACCTCTACACTAGGATGTGGCTGTGGCAGTGTGATGGGTGGACGCTCAAACATGATCACATTGGTGGGTATCTCCAAGTCCCAAGGACCTCTGTAACCAATACATGCTTGATGTACTTATGAGGCTTACTGTCCCACTCTATTTGCTTCAGAATGGAGTTAAAAGTTAATAAATGGTGAAAGATAAAGATATTTTGACTAGTGGAATTACTCACTGCTGTACACTCATATTTGTCACTAATATCTGTGACTTGAAATAGATGGCGCAAGACTAAATATGCCACATCCAAATATTAAAAAGTTTATTTCATTTTATATACTATACTGATATGCCCTCTAATAGTATCAATATATTCTCCTGTACCTTTTATATAACTAAGCTTAATAAGATTCAAAACTAAATTTCTTTTCACAAAGAAAATTATGCTACAATGAGAAGATTTTTCTTCTTCAAAATTTCACCAAATTACAATGAAACAAAAAGCTAGATCATACTAACAACAACAACTGAGACAGTTTGTTGAGTGAGATTGTGTGACTTTTCCCGGGAAGCCCAACACTGCCATCCCCAGCTCCTCCCCTTAAAAACAACACAACTACTTACGCTAGCACAAACTTTTTGGCAACAGGCGCTCCAGATGCCTCCTCTGACGCTCTCCTTTTGACTCCTGAAATGACTGGTGGAGCTGGTGGGGAGAGTGGAGTGCTGCTGCTACCAGGGAGGCTGCTGCTGCCAGGGAGGCTGCTGGTGCTATTGTTAGTTGTGCTGCTGGTACTGCTGTAAGCAAATAAAAATTACATAAAATTACATCAGTGACAAACTATTTAAATACTTAAATATGAATTGGTGTTAATAAAGCCTACTGATGACCTAGTACTGTACAAGGTAACTCTAGCATAGTATCCCCCATGTCTGTGAGTTGAATAACCAGGTAAACTCCAGACACTAACAGTCACAACTGATCACATCACTAGTTACCCTCTTTGCTGCAGCCTCATCCCTTAAAATGGTTCATTTGATAGCCAATAATTTGTTGAAACTTATTCATTTTATCTCAGTACGTAACTAACACATTTAACTTCTTCCTTATTTCTCAATGCAGAGTTTCTTTACTGAGTAATAATGTTATTTAACCCCTTCACTATGGGGATGCCACTTTTATATTTTATTTGGCTAATGTCAGATGATTTTATTCAGCCAAGAGTGATGGATTACAGCAGTGTCCAACTTCAAGTCAGGGTACATAGACCCACCTCAACACCTTATTTTGCTTCTCACAAAATGAGATCAAGGCCCAATATCTGTAGATTAAGGATGGATGGGAAAAGAGTGAGCAAGGCAAGGAAAGATGTCAAAGATAAAGAGTATGGTGAACACTAGCGCTCAAGGTCAACTGCCACAACTTTGGATGACATTTTCTATAGAGTAAGGTTCATCAACCTCAATTTGATACTACAGTACAGTAAACTTATCTTAATCCTATACAGGTGATTAGAGAGTCAATGCAGGAACCCACAAGAGTGACCTCACTGCAGTGGTACTAGTGGATGGCTGGTTGATTCCTGTAATGCCCTTTTCTATGATCGATTGACGAAAGAGAAAGGCCGAGTCGGGGAGACTGTTTGAAAACACTCACATCCCTTTGGCCATAAATGACAATATTTAAATATTCCATGAACCTCTCTCTCTCTCTCTGTGGACTGATGTTGTAAGGTACGGTTGGAAAGGCAGCTAAGTAGTTTTATCACCATTGTTGTACTCCGGGAGGCGAGCATGTTAAGGTGGCTCTGTCATGTTGATCAGCATAAATATCAAGTGATACCTGCAAGGCCTGCACAGGTATGTACATCATAAACACTATTAATTGAGGAACTTAAGTGACACAAATCAATAACCTTGCTAGGAATCACCTTTGCAGAATTCTTAAACACAATCTAAAGGAATGGCGTAAAACAATATGCAAGCAAGACAAGGTTGATCATAAACTGGTTACTCATTGTGACTCTCATTAAGATCCTTTGTCATTAGTAACTTCATATTTCCCCCTCTCTAAACTCACTGCATCACAGTATGAGTCACATGAAAGCTGTCCATATACATGCAGCAGCCAGGAAACATCTCCCCCAAGAGCCTCACATCTATCATGTACAGTACCTCCTCATCTTTACATTTAGTCTTACCAACAACACTTTCTAATAATTACGTATGTTCGCGCAGATACTCCTTCAACAACTCTTTCCATCACTTTACTACTGTAAAAGGTGCCGTAAACCTGACACATCTGAGGTGTGACCGTATAGTGAGTGTTGTCTGCATGCAAATTATGATGTTACTAAATATGACTTAAACCCATTCAATAGATGAACAAGAGTCCAGGAACACAGGCTACCAAAAACATCTTAAGGATCTGGGTTCAGAATTTTAAAATTCAAGTAATTACTGTTAATTAACAAGTTTCAAAACAATTTAATACATACAGAACATTTAAAACGTCAATTACGTTGTGCCCGTAAGTTCTAAATTGTCCTTATATATTTTGTCGGTAATGTAGACTATCATTATGCTTTAAACATGCTAGTTTTCAGTTTCCAGAGAAAATGAGTTTTACTATTGTGAAAATGACGACTGATTTATTACCCATCGTTTAGGCATATGACAAAACATGGATTTTGTTCAAAATTCATACAAAGGTTCTCTTTTACATGCTGGTTAAATAATATAAATTCTTTAATGCAAAAACACAAGACAAAATATGGAACTGTGGAACCTTCATAAAACATAAAAGAAAATTAATACAAATAAAAAACAATAAAAATTACAGTACAGTACAAGGTTCATTAAATATGGAGTCACAGTATAATGTACAGCACTGTACTGCAAAACATGAATATACAGTACAGTACTATACTTTATATTTTACCACAAACAATACTTGTGAGTTCCTATATCTTCCAAGCAGTCTTCTCAGAGAACAAAGCACCATGAAGCAGAACCAAATAAGAAATACCAGTTTTAGTAGCAGAAGCAGCCTACCTCTTAGTGCCTCGTGTGTGTGGTGGAAAACTCTCAGCAGAAGAAATAGCTGGAGCCTTTGTATTCAGAGTTATACATTCAGATCTGGTAAAGGGGTGTGGCATTAGAAGGACTCATGCTCATGTCAACAAGTAGGCTCACAATGTGCATGGTGAAGTGGACATAGAAAAATGTGGGCTAGAAACAGTTAAGAACAGCTTGGAGGGAAATACGGCATATTTCCCTCCAATCACTACAAAACTACGTACTGTCACTTCAAGACGTTCTCTCTTTGGATTAGTTAGATAACACAAAGATAACCAAGATTTAGTCATAGCAGTGATTAGTTTGGAGCTGATAAAGTAATATGCCCAGAAGTGCCTTGTGTGATGAATGGGTCATGTGAGCTCAGAGAGGGAATCAATGAGCTTGCTAAACACAGCCAAAATATGCTTCAGAATCCACTCTTAAGTCAGTACATTTATTATCTAGAATTTCTACTTCATTACAATTTGTATGCAGACCTGATATGTAAAGAGGTTTAAGCAATCTATATACAGTACTGTACTGTACAGGTTGTTCTTGCTTATGCTAGTTTCACAAGAACTGGATTCACATTTACTTTGTTTACATTTTACTTCACAAAATTTGTTTATGCCAAGATAAAATTCACAAGATACACACACACACACATCTTTCTCAGAGTAATGCATCATGGAAAGACATCTTGTGTGCCAGAATGCACCTGAAGCATATTGTGTGTAAATACATGTTCTATTCACTAGTTTGATATCATCCTTTTTTAAGTGATAATGGCATCCCCAAAGCACCCTTCGTGTAAGTAAAGAACCTGATGATACCCAAGATGTTAATACTGGACACTAAATTGGAGATGTTGACAAATCTTGAAAATGATGACACCATGAGAGAAGAGGCAACAGACACCACCACCACCAGCAGATGAAGGAGAACTGACACTTGTTGATCAAGTGGTCCAGGAAGGGACTGACATGGATCCCAACCTGGAATGAGGCTAACACATTGGAAGGATGATAGAAAAACAGTGCACTAATAAGCACTCAACCTTAATACAGTTTTTTCAAGCCCACCACCAGTGATGCTAAGACCCTCAGTAACCCCGGCAGCAGACAGACACACTTAACCTGAGACTCCAGTTTGCAGCATCAGTTAACCCACCTGAGCAGCCATCAACAGGACCATTCTGATGACCCAACACAACAACTCTCTCCTCACACCAGCATCTCCTCATGCAGTAAGCAACAGAAAGTATTTGTGAGCATACTGTACTGTACTGTACTGTACTCGTTTATAATGCTTGTTAACTAAGATTTGCATGTACAGTAGCTAAAAGTGATGGAATCCAAAAGTTCAAATTTATGCATTAAGCAAGTGACATGGCAACTCACGACACTTTTTCCCATCTGTTTTTATGAACAACAATTCCGACTAGAGAAGACCCTTTCGGGCCCTGGTTACAATTTGAAATAACAACTTTGTGACAGTTCTTAGCACCTCTACCAGTGTTAAATGGGCTCTGTCACCATAGATAATAAATCTTTTTAAATCACGAGTTATCTAGGCAGTTTATAATCAGAAATATTCCTCCTGAAAATGAATAACCACTAGTTCTCAAAACTTCAATGATAGATGACATCTTCCCAAAATAATCCAACACAAAGCATGACATAAGTGTCTGTAAAATATAATGGCAGACTCAGGTGGCTCATGTCTTGGGTAGACCACAGTATATCACATAAGTTGTATCCTGTGACACTCTTGCTTGTAATCACAGGTTTTACAAATCCACAGGTGCCAGGAAAACATAAGTGTTAAGACAATGTGGAACTTTAAAGAACAGACTGTACTGTATAAAGTAATTACACACCTTTGGTTATTGTTGGCACTCGCGCTGCTGCCATTGGTGGGATTCTGAATCCCAAGAGGATCACTTATTGGATCATACTGCTGCTGTTGTGGGGGCGGCACATGTGGCTGTTGAAGAGGGAGAAGAACAGCGTAACTTTCTAAAGTTTAATTTCATCAGACTGGAGAGTAGTAACCTTGTTCATGGCCCTGATGAGAGATATCAAGTACCATCTTGGGTCATGTTCCCATAATCAAAGAAGCTCTGAACAATATTTTTACTTCAGAATATTATGAAACGTTTTCATCAGTAAGAGAAGGTCCAACCATTAGAAACAAGTATTGATAAAGGATTATTAACAAGTTAACAACAATCTCAACATAATAAACTTAAATATGAATATAACACTTACCCCAGGAGGCTGTGAGCCGTGAGTAGACTGTCCTACAGGCATGTCCCACAGAGACTCCCCAGTGGCACGGTTCCAAAAATATATTCTTTGTTCACGTTTGCTCCAAAACTTACGCCAGCCAGCCACCAGCATCTCATGGGGCAGGTCTGTTTCATGCACAGGAGCACCACCCGGTGGAGGGCCACTTACTGGTGTCTGGAGTGTTGGAGTTGTGGGACCACTAATGCCTCCCTGTTGAACATTTAAACAAGGATCAAACTCAAAATTATATTAGTCCTTACAGTCATACTGATCCTTCATTGAGATAATTTCCATAACCATCCTGTTACTGTAAGCCAAGTCAAGCTGTAATAATATAGATAGCAAAACCTTTTAACATTTTTCTTCCCTTATGAAGTAACTGGCGGTGTCATAAATGTGTCCATGTACTGGACCTCCAATAAGCCATCTTCCACTACCCTGAAAACTGGCACATACAAATATTGCCCCTATGTCTTCACAACTCTCAGCCACAGATCCCCTTATTGTACTCAGCTTCAGTTTAAGTCTCCCTTCTTTAACTTCTTCATAATCACCAACCAGAGAAGTATAAACAATTTCCTGGGTAATATTGCATCATACATAAGCAATAAGAGATACACACAATCATGATTAGTCCAAGTGAGACAATACTGTACTGACCTGAGAAGGTATGGTGACCCTGATTCCCTGGTAAGGAGGCTGACTAGGGTGGGGTTGTTGTTGATATTGGTAGTGTGGAAGAGAGGGCTGGGGTGACTGATGCTGTTGATTATCTGTTGGAGAGTAACTCTGTTGGGGCGAGGGAGCTGCTGGTATTGTTGCAGGTCCTCCTCCTGGTGACGCTGCAGCACTGGGTGTGGTGTGAGCCGGAGCACTTGAAGTGGAGGCAGCGATAAAGCTCTCCCATGATGATGCCATGACTCTGCACAAAATAAATGCATCTGAGAAATCTGAAATTTACAAGAAATGTGGCTCTCTTGTCAATTAAATTATATACAGTATAAGTACAGTACACTGCCGCCCATGTCACGCCATGACCAATATACAGCATGTACAATACACATGGATCAGAGGGTTTTTTATTCTTTTTATTTTTTAAACCAAAGCAGTTGGTCAACATAGTTTACAAATTTAAGATCCACTGTGCCTGAGATATCACCCAGAGTAACAGTACAGTACAGTACAGTACAGTACAGTATCCCTCCATTTGAAACTCACACCCTCGAGAGACACACTTTGCCAGAGACTAAATGGGGGGAGGTGAGTCAGTGTACAATACAAATTAATAGTTACAAACTGCTTCTATGAACATTTATTTGCATCTGAGAGAATATCAGTTATAATAATAATTATAATAATAACTGGGTTTTTTTTACTCAAAAGCACCAGTTCTTCTAAAGAATTCACTAGTGCTCGAAACACTACATTATTCTGGTGGGTGTGTCTCATAAGTAAGATAAATGCTGTAAATGTAGGAAAATCAATGTATTCACAGACTGCTTCACTCATCTTCTATTAAATGCCAAGAAACATTAATATTTTACGTAAAAAATTATGATGATGAAACTGTTTCATAAATGGGAAAAAGACCGATTGTAAACTGAAAATATCATAAGGTGGACATGACGATAAACTGCTTCACTGTCCGTGCTAATGCAATATTAACGTTACTTTTGGGTTAGGTAGGATATAAAATTTGGTGGGTTGGCCCACAGAAAACCACCTAAATCATAATGCAGCCCATGACTGAGGAAAGGTTGCCCATCCCTGAATTAGAGAAACAAATACTGTACTGTACTTTGGGTAGCCACAGAATGCCGAGTGGCTGCCACAACACACTGACACACACCAATCCATGTGAAGTACAAGTTGTGATGAAAAACCAAATAAAGTGATGACTGCTGCAGAAACCTGAACTGTTATACAAATTTAAGAACAGTGCTGGTGCTACTGAGGCGGTGAAGCACAATTTGATGTAATTCATAATTCAGAGCAAAAGTTTTACACCAGCTTGAGTGATTCTGGTCCTTTAAGTTTAAGTGGCATCTGCCAGCATGAAACATCCTGCTCTTGAAACTACAGCAAGGAAATCTGAGCTTGACAAGATGCCATACATGATAAATTCTTAGATTTAAATGATTTTGTTGTTACTAATGAAAGCATATTAAAAAGTTAAGTTGTGTTAAGTGTTTGATGGTTAACTGCCAACTTAAGCACAGGCTACAGCCTAGCCAAGGTTACTGGTATGTGAAGTGATCCATGAGCTTCTGAGAGCATGGCACAGCATCATGTTAATATTTACTCAGCATGCAGGCATTTTTACCATTGAAAAATATTACCGGGTACTCGTGTAATTGAAAATGACTTGTTCACGGGCGAACTTCAACATCATGTAAATAAGGTGCATGTTTAAGACAGTCTCCCTATCTTTACACAAAAGATTTGGCCATAAAAACACAACCCAGACACAAGCACAGGTGTTTTCACTAATCATTAACAGTACTGTACTAGTGATTTAAGAAACATAAAACTTGTACAGTATTCTTTTTCTGGGTCATCAGGTGACGGAATGTTTCACTCCCTATACAGTGGTCCCTCAGTTAACCAACGCCTCGGTTAACGAAATTTCGGTTAACGAATTACCTTCCATAAGAATCTTCAATTCGGTTAACGAAATTTTTACGAAATCATGTCAACATGTTTTCGCTTGCTCACCAGCTGGAATATTAGTCCGCCAATACAGTAATCGGTTCTAGGGCTTAAATTCGTTCCCATTTGAGTAAATATCAAGAAGGTTGTACTATTCAATAATTGTCCAAGTTTTATATTAAATTTTTTAGTCATTTTAACACTTATTTAACATAATCGCAGTACAGGAAACTAGTTTTTGGTGCGCCAATCAGCCACTTGACTCTCCCAGCAAGGCGTCAGTTTGTATGTCTGGTCAGTGGAAGTGACATCTTGCTTGTGGCTCTCTTGAACATAAACTATTTTTACGTTTTTACAGTACAATTATTGGTCATTCTGAAATTTATTTTACATATTGACAATATATAGTGCAGTGCAGTGTTGATTTAAAGAAAATAATCTTGAATTACACCAAGTGAACTTAAAATTTTATGGGTGAAATGACGGCATGAAGCATGGGGTGATTTCTCTTCCACTTCCTTCTCTTCTCTCTTCTCCCTTCTCCTCCACCCCCACTTCTCATTCCCATCATCATCAACCAGGAGCCTTCTACATACACACCTCAAAGTAAGTGTACTTTACTGCATTTATTTTTAGTTTGTATGTAATTTTCAGTGAGCTGGAACCAATTACCCAAAATCCCATTGAAACAATGGTTTCGGTTAACGAACGACCTTCTGGAACGAATTGTGTTCGTTAACCGAGGGACCACTGTACCTGTATTCCCTGAATTCACATAACGAAACGTAACCCTCAGGTTGGGTGAGGTCTCACTGTATGAATAACAACAAAAAATATTTTAGTGAAATTACAGAAACAATCACCCATAAATAAGCAAATATGAGTAATTCATGGAACTGAAATTTCTAGCTTCAGCAGAGCAACAGGTAGGCAGGTGTCTTCTCCTCACCTTGGCACCACGTCTAAACACAACAGTAAGTAGCCCACGGTGTCCTCACCTATCTATATCCAGATGAAAAAACATCACTGAACCTTGTCTGAATACAGTACATGAGAAACCAATCACTGAGCAATGCCATTTACCTTGTTGTGGAGTATACAGTACAGTACAGGCTGGCAACAAGGCTCTTTTTGTAGTTTCACTGGTTATAGCTGGCAACAAGGCTCTTTTTGTAGTTTTTGTGGCATACACTTGGTAAATGCATTCTTTTGTAGTGTTCACTGCCCACAGTTGGTAAAGAAGTGCTTGTTCATATTCTGTGCTGCTTACGGATGGCTCTCAGGTCCCCACACTGAAATAAATTGGTTCTTGTGTTGAAAAACACCTTCCTCTCACAACTGCTTGTGACTGACAGTAAAGTCTACAAACCTTTCCATGCCACCAAAGACAACACTGTACAGTAAACAAACCTTATTAAAGAGAGAAAACAAAAGGGACTTAAGGTCCATTATTCACTACCACCAATAAAACAAGACAATATCATGCACATTACAGTGGCTACTCATCTACAGTAGGTATTCTCAAATTACAAAGGCCAATTACAATTCCCCTTCAAACTCTACAACTTTTCCATCCCATTCTCTGTAAGGCAAATGTTACCACATTTATGAACCTGTTCAAACTCATCACATCAACGGTTGATAATAAATGCAAAACACTGAATTACATCACATTTTCCCATAAACTCCCATTATAAAAACTGAGATATGTTCCCATGAAAAAATAACTAAAAACATTCCCCAAAACATCTTAAAACCCCTAAAACATGTTTTTAATGACAATTCTTGAAGTACTAATTACCACTCGACCCCTGATGAGATACTGCACATGTGTTGCTTCATCTTAAATTCCAGAGGCTTTATTCACACGGAATGAACGCTGCAGTCCGTCAGCTGACGCTACACTCTCAAGTGTTACCGGCAATATCCACACCGCCAAACTTTTGTTCACTTACACACTTTCTTTTAACTATACATAATTAGCATAGGAAATTTAAAATTCTGAATAATTTTCTTTCATTAAATTTGCCACACACAGTACAGTAATAATGTATCCCTGTTAGTCAGAACAATTGCTGCAGTGTTTCTGGTTTTGAGATATTTCCAGATACTGTACAGTATTGAGACAAATTCTTTTATCCCGGGAGAAAATTGCACATCTATGGAATTTTTCCGGACATTGGCGAATGTTTCCGTGTCTAAACTACACATCTGTGCAAAATGAATGGAAAAGAAGAGCAAAACATCCTGGTGTACAGTAAGTGTGCCTGTAAGAGGCTACTAATTCATTACAGTAAACATTCCTTTCAATAAAATTCCTTCCAGTGAAAGTTGCGGCCCACACGAGCTCACATTACATTATTTTGATTTGGCCCGGCCCGGCCATGCCTCACCACACACTGTTTTGAACTCCTGGGTCTTTTATTCTCCCAACCTGTGCACATACAGTATATCATTGTCACCAAACAAGTGCTAAATCCAAAGGTTCCATTTACAGCCATTTTCCACGCTTGTTGCTGCACAGTAATAGGTACATTTGCACAGAGAGCTAACACCACTACTGTACTCAAACAAAAACACACTAGATATTAACACACTATTAAAATGAACAGATTTGCTGTATAATACAGTAGAAGGCTTATGTTCAACCATTACCACAGTACAGTGCCTTATACAAGCCTGGCTTGGAGTCCACACCTACTTTGTCAAATATACAGACGACAGAGGTGAGCCAACAAGCTGGTAACCAGCATTAAGATCCTGCCATATAAATCCCAGTAAAGTAGGTGAATGGCTCCACAGACAATGTATGCACTTAAGTAATGCCATCAGATAGAAAATCTGGTCTCTTCACAGGAAGGAGGAGGTTAACTTGAAACATTTTATCAGGCCAGTATACAGTACGTATTGTAATAAGATAAGGTAAAGACTGCAAAGCATACACACAGTTTTTAGTTAATATACAGTGAATTATTAGAAAGAACTTCCACACTATGTTGTGAATCAAATAACAAATATGCTAGAAAAAAATTGATAGTCAATGGCAGTGCAGCTATGGAACATAAGAGGCCCAGATTGTAATATTCCTTTACACTTTAAATACAGTAATGCCATGCAAAGTAGAATGAATTGTAAACCTATGTGCACTCTTTAACTTTGGCAAGTTAAGATGTAAATTATGAAGCACCACTATGTCTACCACTATACAGATCTGACAAATAAAAACAGACATTCCTTGAATTATGCTGATTTTACTGTTTTTGTGAAGAAAGAAAGGGGCCCCAATGGTCAATGGTTCATTCCTAAACCTAAGGAGGGGGCCCCAATGGTCAGATCTCAAGGTCCCCATCAATGGTTCATTCCTAAACCTAAGGAGGGCCTCCAATGGTTCAATGGAGGGGGCATTCCTAAACCTAATGGTCAATGGTTCATTCCTAAACCTAAGTTCAATGGTTCATTCCCTAAACCTGGAGGGGGTCCCAATGGTCAATGGTTCATTCCTAAACCTAAGGAGGGGTCAATGGTTCATTCCTAAACCCAAGGAGGGGGGCCCCAATGGTCAATGTTCATTCAAAACCTAAGGAGAGGCTAATGGTCAATGGTTCATTCCTAAACCTAAGGAGGGGGCCCCAATGGTCAATGGTTCATTCCTAAACCTAAGGAGGGGGTCCAATGGTTCATTCCTAAACCTAAGGAGGGGGCCCCAATGGTCAATGGTTCATTCCTAAACCCAAGGGGCCCCAACGGTCAATGGTTCAGGGAGGGGGCCCCAATGGTCAATGGTTCCTAAACCTGGAGGCTCAATGGTTCATTCCAAACCCAAGGAGGGGCCCCAATGGTCAATAGGTTCATTCCTAACCCAAGGCCCCAATGGTCAATGGTTCATTCCTAAACCTAAGGAGGGGGCCCCAATGGTCAATGGTTCATTCCTAAAACCTAAGGAGGGGGCCCTACGGTCAATGGTTCATTCCTAAACCTAAGGAGGGGGTCCCAATGGTCAATGGTTCATTCCAAACCTAAGGAGGGGCCCCAATGGTTCATTCTCTAAACCTATGAGGGGCCCCAATGGTCATGTTCATTCCTAAACCCATAAGGAGGAGGGGCCCCAATGGTCAATGGTTCATTCCTAAACCCCCCAATGGTCAATGGTTCATTCCAAACCTGGAGGGTCCAATGGTCAATGGTTCATTCCTAAACCCAAGGAGGGGTCCCAATGGGCCCCAAGGTTCATTCCTAAACCCAAGGAGGGGGCCCCAATGGTCAATGGTTCATTCCTAAACCCAAGGAGGGGGCCCCAATGGTCAATGGTTCATTCCTAAACCTAAGGAGGGGCTCAATAATGGTTCATTCCTAAACCTAAGGAGGGGTCCCAATGGTCAATGGTTCATTCCTAAACCCAAGGAGGGGTCCCAATGGTCAATGGTTCATTCCTAAACCTAAGGAGGGGGTCCCAATGGTCAATGGTTCATTCCTAAACCTAAGGAGGGGGTCCCAATGGTCAATGGTTCATTCCAAACCTAAGGGGGGTCAATGGTTCAAATGGTCAATGGTCAATGGTTCATTCCTAACCTAAGGAGGGGTCCCAATGGTCAATGGTTCATTCCTAAACCTAAGGAGGTTCAACGGTCAATGGTTCATTCCTAAACCTAAGGAGGGGCCCCAATGGTCAATAGGTTCATTCCTAAACCTAAGGAGGGGGGCCCCAATGGTAAATGGTTCATTCCTAAACCTAAGGAGGGGGCCCCAATGGTCAATGGTTCATTCCTAAACCTAAGGAGGGGGCCCCAATGGTCAATGGTTCATTCCTAAACCTAAGGAGGGGGCCCCAATGGTCAATGGTTCATTCCTAAACCTAAGGAGGGGGCCCCAATGGTCAATGGTTCATTCCTAAACCTAAGGAGGGGGCCCCAATGGTCAATGGTTCATTCCTAAACCTAAGGAGGGGGCCCCAATGGTCAATGGTTCATTCCTAAACCTAAGGAGGGGGCCCCAATGGTCAATGGTTCATTCCTAAACCTAAACTGTAATTCACTGATAGTTTAACTCATCAAAACAGCATAACACCAGAAGCAGTGATGAAGTACAGTACTTGTTGATCCACCATAGTTCCACACTCACCCTAATGAAAAAACAAATGGTCAACAGTCAAATATTCATCACATTTCTCACATGTAAACAATATATTATGCATATGTAACTAAACTTGAACTTATACTGCACCCAAGCCAAGGTATTGCAGTGGGACCCATACTTTCCAGTTGACAGGTTATAGAACAACGCTCTTCACAAATTATTGGCTCACACCTTCTAATTATAAGCTTCATCCCCTGAATTTCCAGATAAAGGCCATGTCCACCACCACTGGTAACTGGACCAAATAGTCTCAGTCAGCAGATTCCAAGCATACTGTACTGTACTGTACACTGCAGCTGATAATCTAGCAAATTTCATGACAAAATTAAAATTATTCAGGGTTGGTTATCTTTCCCTCACACAAATAATGATGATGATGATAACTATTCTAATTGGTTTAAATATTACAATATACCAGAGTTTGTCATGAAGAGGAGGATCAAGGGAACACACCTCAGTTAAGGTTGACTTTAGTTACCCAGTTTTTCACTTTATCTTGCAGGAAAAAATGGTTCTAATCACTGAGACTTATCATTATCAATCACCACTGTTTCTCTATCTCAATATCCACTTTAAATGTAAAAATTAAATTTACAGCTCATGATGCACAGCCATGTCTTGGTCATCCATTACCACTCTTTTTATATGAGTATTTATACAGTACAGTAGTCGGCACCAACCTGTTTCCTATGCTCAAGCTTCACAATTACTAAGCTTCATTAGGGATGGTAGGTCAGGTTAGGTTATGTTTTCCTTTTCTCTTTATTTCGCTCTTCTTCTTCTTCTATTTGATGTTAAGATATGTTTGAAAAGTCATGTATCCTGATATGTTAGATTCATTAAGTTTGGTATTTTTTTTTCTTATTTGGTTTGGTTAGGCTTGGTACAAATTGGTTCCACCAACAATTTTGGGATGTTCTTCCATTGAAAATTTTCCCAATGTTGCTCTTCTAAAGCATTAATTTATTAGAGTTTTCTGTAATAGTTAGGTTAAGTTAGCTTGATAACTGTCAACAGTGAACACGGGCCAACACCAACTATACTCACACAAAATAGTGGTGATAGCAAACATCCTCATCAAGGGAAAATTATACAAACCATTATTAGAACAAGTGAGATGAACTAGCCTAACAACCTTGGTGTGTAGTTTAGTTTCAAGTTAAGTAAGATCTGGTTCATTGTGTTTGTTTTGAAAGACGTAGACAGATTCAAATATTGGTGGTTCACATTCAGTATTTTTTCTCTATCTTTTATTTAATTTCTTAAAAAATGTTTTGTACACTTCTTTTATACTAAATATCCCCCAAAAAACTAATATCCCTTTTTAAATACATATGGTAAGAAAAAAATTCCTTTTGTTTTTAATAAATATGCGAAAAAATTCTCCATTAATGTATCACTTTTGTTAAAACATATTAAAATATAAGTTATAAAAAACAAAGTTACAGAAATGCTGAATAAAGTGTGAGGTGTTGGCTGTGATTTATGAACTATGTGAAGAGGTTGTAATAAATAAACACCGAGCCATCAAAACACTGGTAACTAACTTAGACAAACCTTAGTGATCAGAAAAACTTTTCTTCAATAAACTAAGAACAAAATATAAGTAACAGGACCAAACAATGATAGTAAACTATTTCCAAGACTTCACATTAAAGGGTGTAGTCATGTTAGTAGTGTTCACTCAGACTAAGGGACAACCTCTTCCTCACTCAGACTAAGGGACAACCTTCTTCCTCACTCAGACTAAGGGACAACCTCTTCCTCACTCAGACTAAGGGACAACCTTCTTCCTCACTCAGACTAAGGGACAACCTTCTTCCTCACTCAGACTAAGGGACAACCTTCTTCCTCACTCAGACTAAGGGACAACCTCTTCCTCACTCAGACTAAGGGACAACCTTCTTCCTCACTCAGACTAAGGGCCAACCTTCTTCCTCACTCAGACTAAGGGCCAACCTTCTTCCTCACTCAGACTAAGGGCCAACCTTCTTCCTCACTCAGACTAAGGGCCAACCTTCTTCCTCACTCAGACTAAGGGCCAACCCTCTTCCTCACGCGGCTTGTGTGTAACTTTTAAAATGACAACAGACAAGACTATCAAGGGCTGGTGATGCCACAAGGTTCCTGTCACAAGTAAGACCACTACTATAAGTGGTGGCTGCCAGGCATACAACAATACATCTCCAAGACACACAACAGACCATATATCTGGGCGGTCATCCTCAATATCACCTTGTGCCATTAGTTTCTTTAATACACTTAGCTTAGCCCCCAAGGTTGGAAGCTTCTATTACAGACCAGTTTAAAATTAACTCTCATGACAAATTTAGACCATAAATATCTTTGAAGACTTTGGCAGTACTTCGACTGAACATACAGGGACGCATAAATGACTTCTAGATCCACCAAAGAAGTCTGTCATTAATAAAATAATAAAAAATAGGCGTAACCGTTTCTGCCACTGTCCAAAGGTAAACAATGTAACTCCAGATGCCGATTTTATTTATGTTGTTATTCAATTGTATTTGTGATAAATTTATTTTTTGGTGTCCTACACTAGGTCTAAATATACTATAGACTTAACGGGCATATACACTTACTTGTGTTGAAAGAGAATAACGCCCTTAAGTCATGAATTTCGTTAGAAATTTTGACACACACCCAATCGGAAAGACGCCATCAGTTCCCTGGACTTATTCAGAGGCATTATTCTGGCTCTGACTTGGGCTTCTTTATGTCTATTTTCCGCCAAATGCAAAGAATGTCACGCAACAAAATATCCATTAAAATCTGCCAAAAGTACTTTAAATATCAAGTGATTGCCTGTATCACACAACTATCGAATACAACTTAAGAATATCAATTCAACATTGCTCAGAACTTATCGCTTGTTTTTAACTCATGGAATTCGGACATTGGTGATGATGTCATGGTCACGTGATCACCAAGTTCGATCCAACAACTCACAAGACCTAAACTCTTCCTTCTGCGCAATGCTTTATTTAGCGCTATATTCAAAAGTCTCATAACTTTATAATGTTTTTTATTTTTCAAAGACAAAAAAAATGACTACACGGACACAATACAGAGAGATATACGTTTGTGAAATATTGAAAGTGCAATCCACATGTCAGGTGCACACGATTATATTTGATGATATAATCTACTCTTTTTAATTAGCATTTTCTTGATGTTATAATGTTATTACTGTACTTCAAGAGCTAAAGTCTTTAAGCGAGTACACAGAGAGTTTTATATCTCAAAATCTGTTATCGCTGTTGGACTGGTGTATTGCTAACCATGGTACGCTCTTAAAGACCTTCCTTGTTGAAGCGCAGTAATCACATTATAACGACAACAAGCGCGCAATAAAAATATTATTTACTCTAGTTGACTAACCCATTAGAAATTAGAAATTATAATAGAAAGAACAGGAAGAAATTAGAGAAACCCGAAAAACTTGCGGTGTCCCGGAAGGCATCACTGAACCCTTACCACCAATTGAAGAAGAACAAACCGTGATGAGGGGCCGTCATGTTAACACTTCCGAATCAATTGCAATAAAAAAGCTTAGACAACAGCATTACATTAATAATAAGTGTTGTAAACAGACTGCCAGTTGATTGAAGATGTCAAAAGGAGTACCACCAGACTGACGGGGGGGCACTCCCCCAAGACCTGGCTTGCTCCCCTCCAGACCGGCATGACCCCCACCCCCCAGTGACCTGGCTTGCCCTCCCAAGGGCTGTCTTGCTCTCCAAGGAAATTTTTAATTATATTCCTTTTTCATATAGACGAATTTGGATTTGGTGAGAACATCTCAATGGTATTATTATTATGCAACATTCAACAAAATGATAAGTATTCATCAATTTTCATCGTTCCAATTGTCTATCATTTATAAACTGAATAGCAGCAAGGAAGTAAGTCATAGTGCTAGCAGCCACACGGTCCACACCGGGCAGATGCAAATTGAAAATATAAAACGTGTTGGAAGGTGTTCCGTCTGTTACACCCGGCGGCACCACAGTGGGGCAGGATTTTGACCCCTACTCTTTGCATTTCGGGGATCAGACGGGCTGCAGTAATGTACTCATTTTTTTCTTTTTTACGGGAATTAGCCCACCCGGGCACAGGTCACTGACCCACATCGGGGCCTGGGGGGCGAAAATGTAATAATAATAATAATAATAATAATAATAACATTAATGTTATAATAATAATAATAATAATAATAATAATAATAATAATAATAATAACATTAATGTTATAATAATAATAATAATAATAATAATAATAATAATAATAATAATAATTCAGTTAAGAAAAATTTATACTAAAAAATAAATAAATAAAAATAAAATAATAATGATAATAATAATAAATACAAAAACGAAAAAAAAATCGAAAGTGAGAAACAATATATGTATGTTGAGTTGTCAGTAGTAAGAGAAACAACTGAGACCCTGCAATTGTGTGTAAATGAGACAAAAAATCATATCAGTAACCAGGGACTTGGTCACAATTTTCGTGGTGCCATATAGCAGCAGGGTCAACCATTAGACAACACATTATACTTCCAATATCTTCCTAGGCGGTAGTACCTCCCTGTTTGATAGCTGCCTACTAAGTGTGTATGTTGAAGTGTGTATGGTAAGTTTAAGTATGGTAAGTATAAGTGTGTATGCTAAGTATAAGTGTGTATGGTACTATTAGTGTATGGTAAGTACTGTACAAGTGTGTATGGTAAGTGTAAGTGTGTATGGTAAGTATAAGTATCTTGCATCAAGTGTTTCATAGATTATTCCTTGGCTGAATTAAGTCTGTATTGGAGGGTTTTAGTGTAAAAGCTGTAGTGTAGTAATAGTGATCACTGTAGTATATTGTGTAATACAGTACTGTACTAGTTCATGTGCGCCAATGTCACAAGTTTTGGTCGCTGCATATGATGCTTTATTCTGATAAGCTTTCAGTGCTTATTTATTATGTAACATTCTATATTTCATACAATATATAATATATAATGTAACTTAATACCTTTACTGTATTGAGTCATAGATTGTATAATTTCCACTGTCTACTGTACAGTATTATGGTAGGTAGGGGAAGGTTCCATTGGACTACACACACACTTTGTCTAGTTAATGCCAGACAATATTATTCTTCAGAGAGAGATGCCTCATAACTAACGGGTTAAATATATTGTACTGTACAGTTCTGTGCTTATGAATTTCCTTTTTTAAGTTGAAATTCAATGAAAACAGAAGAGATTTATTACTGTAGTGCTGTACATGTACTTTAAAGAAATAACTTTGTATTAAATGAGAGGTTGGTTACATGAAAGGAAATTCTTTATACTGTAATATGGTTTAAGTTTATTGACTCTCATATACCTAACAAGCCACTCAGTAAGGTATCTTATACATTAACTTTTCAAAATGTTATGTTTACAGCATATTTTGTCATTAATTACAAGTACAGTAATACTTTTCATAAGTAAATGCTGTAGTGGACAGTGTTACCTTTACTTCACATAGCACACTAGTGACTAGGCTTATAACATGTACCATATGTTAATCTTTACACTGAATACATGCATTATACATATTGCTTTATAAATAAAATAAAAATACATAATAAAAACATATGCATAACAATAAACCGCACGTTTGACTAAATATATGTTATACATACATGCCCAAGCACAATCAAAGTGTTTTCCATTTACCAGGTGAATCTTCATACATCACTCAAATACTTAATGGTGCAGTCTTCACTTTCCTGTCGCTCCCTCTTCCTCTTCCCTAAAATTTATGGCGATTTTTGTGCGAGTGAAAAATTTGACAGCAGGACCAAGCCTGACAGCCTATTTGGTAAAGTGTGGATATAGAACACTGTACAGTATACAGTACTGTACTACAGTAAGTCTTTGGTATATTACAAGGAGACAATATGGCCAGCACTGCACTCGACCACTTGTTATTGTCCCAATTATAAAGTTAAGCACCCATTCTGTCTAAAGAATATTAATGGATAAAAGTTAACTGAGCTAAAGTTAGCCATTTTTAATAAATTTCAGAACTACAGTATTCAATGTGGAATATTATTGGATATTCCTATAAGTTTGTGCTAAGTTTGATAAATTTTTTTTAGTAGTTTCTGAGTAATGAGAAGCAACAGAAAATGAAGAACTGATCTTTGAAATAACATATTATATCAGAATTAGGATAAGTAATCTACAGATACAAATAAAGGAGCATATAAAATTTAATTCATCTACTTTGGAAATATTTTGCATAATACTGCTAACAAACTATGGTGAGATGGAAGTGTGTGTGCAGATGTTGCCTAAATTCCCTCAACACATGGAAATATCTGGCATCTGCTAGTGGATCATATATGTAATTAGTTTATAGATGGTAAATGGTGGTTTTCATAATAAATTATGTCAAAAACTTCCAAATGATTAGAAGAATGAGTGAAGTGGGCACTGGTCACTGTGATCATGGGCTCTGGAACAAGTAAGTCAGCAGCCCCACAAGGGTGCCACAATACAACAGACACCTGTACAATGAACAGGTGACAAACTTGTCTACTTGACATCCCCTCATCTAATTCTTTACAATCTTACACAACTGTGATTTATACTGTGTGAAAACCAAAGATCATTAATAGATGCATTATTATCACCTTTCCTACTACAAAAATAAAAAAATGCTGAATCTAGTGAAGCTGACCAAAAAGACTGTGTTGACAGTCTGTAATCCTATTATGACTGAAAAGTGAGAGCAAGTGAATCAGAGTCAATCCTAGTCGGTGATCCTGAATCCTCACTGATTTAATCAAGCTAACTGCTGGTTCATGGAGTCTGAAGCTCATGAACAAAATGTTGCAACTTTCTCATTATTGGCCACTAAACTACAGTACAGTGACATCTGTATATTGCACAGGGAGGGAATCCAGAGGAACCATCATCACAGATCACTTACAACAAACTTTGGGCCGTGAAAATTTGAGTTCAAGACACACACAGTTAATGACAATAAAATATATATAATTTGTGAATAAAAACAAAAAATATATTCTGAATAAATATATTGAGAGCATTTTCATTGTCAACTTGAGACAACTGACTAATGATAAGCACTAAGCACTACATAAGAATATACTGTATTACTTTCAGTATGACTCCACAATTACACACAACATGAATTAATTTTTAAACAGAGACCTTTAATATATTGTGAAATTATTAAAAATCTGTTACCCTTATTGCACAACAAAATATACTCCATGTACATGTTTTATGCCTACAACTCTCAAGCAACCAATAAACTTTGGTCTTCTATTATCAGTTCTTAATGATATGACAGCAACTTTTTACCCATAACTGATGAGCCTTCTTACAGTACATCACAGTAACTTATGTGAACCTTTCAGACAACCTAATCTTAGCACCTCTGTATATTAATATATTTTCAGTTTTTTCAATGTCTTCTCTACACATCACAAGCTTTCTCCTGCTATAGAACAAAGTATCTTGTGTAAAATCTTTTCTACAACCAAAGTTTACATCACTTTACTCCCTCATCTTACATCTCACACAACCAAAGTTTACATCACTTTACTCCCTCAACTTACATCTCACACAACCAAAGTTTACATCACTTTACTCCCTCATCTTACATCTCACACAACCAAAGTTTACATCACTTTACTCCCTCAACTTACATCTCACACAACCAAAGTTTACATCACTTTACTCCCTCATCTTACATCTCACACAACCAAAGTTTACATCACTTTACTCCCTCATCTTACATCTCACACAACCAAAGTTTACATCACTTTACTCCCTCATCTTACATCTCACACAACCAAAGTTTACATCACTTTACTCCCTCATCTTACATCTCACACAACCAAAGTTTACATCACTTTACTCCCTCAACTTACATCTCACACAACCAAAGTTTACATCACTTTACTCCCTCATCTTACATCTCACACAACCAAAGTTTACATCACTTTACTCCCTCATCTTACATCTCACACAACCAAAGTTTACATCACTTTACTCCCTCATCTTACATCTCACACACTAATCCTTCTACCAAACACCTCCAATTTACCTTTACTTACATTCATATTCATCCACTCTTTCTGCACAGTGTAAAGTCCTGCAATAACATTTATAACTCAGTTATGAATGTTACTATTATCAGTTTCATTCACATTTATCATTTATATAAAAAATCATAATCCATGTCATAAAGCTGACTAACTATAAAATATGTCATAAAGCTGACTAACTATAAAATATGGAAAACTATCACTTATGTTAACTCTTCTGTTTTGCTTTTTATTCCCATTTCCTGGCACTCACACGCTCGTTTTTTGCTTAAATTATTGACTAAGAAACTTTTTGATACACTGCAGGCGAATCCAAGGAATAAAGTGACTACATTCTGTTACAACATAAGTAGTAGCAAGCTGCCTTTGATAAGTATGTGTGTACAGTTCAATATACAAAGCACTGAATCCTTGGGATGCAAGCTGGCCAATAATGCTGATGTGAATACCTACTACAGTACAATACTAACTCCTCACATCATCTCCAAAACTGTGATAATGGACACAAATTTCAAAAGATTAATAATAACTGTAGGTGGAGGCATGCCACTCAGATACACATATTACAGAAGCACTTCCAAACTTCCCCCTAATTGGGTGATCAGAGTAAATGAACAATTGAAAATGTCAAACAACCCCAACTCACTACTGTGGCCAAATTATGCACTGCCCTCCCAACCCTAGCCAAGTTACAAGCTATCTGCCCCAAACCAGACAGCCAAAAGTACATTAAAAGCTAAGTAGTTATATAAAAAAGACAACTGATCAAGTACAGTACACACAGTATACTGTATTAAAAACAAAATAATTCAAAAGGAATATTGTAAATAATACAATACCTGTATAATAAATACTGTATACAGTAAAAGTGTAATGAAAAGAAATCTCCGAAGACACCAGAGTGCTGGCAACACACACTTCCCTCCTTCTCTTATGCACTGTATATAAATGTATTCACATGATCATTTACTTCACTAGCAGCTTTACTCTGGAAAGCACCAGCACACATCAGGCACGAAACTCCTTCTAAAGTCTATGAGCTAGATATACAGTAGTTTTATCATGCAGCTGGCAAGCTTATTCACATATGTAAGTGAACACCCTGGTGTCTTACTTAGGTTATCCATGACAGCTAAACTTTCTCAAGCTCATCATCCTAGATTGTCCTTACAAAAAAATATTTCTCTGGCTTGATAAATGGATAATCTTGAGGATGAACTTTCTCTTTAATATGCCACCAGTCTTTAACAGCACAACAACCAGTGCCACAACCTTCCTTAAAGTAGAGTTCATAAAGTATGTCTATGTTTTTCAAATTGGCAGTATTTACTTTTCTGCTTTTGGTAGGAACTGAAGCACCCGGTAAAAGCATGAGGAAGAACTGGTCATAAAATAATAAATTATGACATGTATGCTGCACTATACAGTGAGGCACACCCACACTCTTTCTGCAGCATAATTTTTTAATAAATGGAAAAGCACATCTGGGATGAACTACAATTAAAAAAAAAATGACAGAGAATTGTGATGGTGAACTTATGAGGTGAAATAATGAAATGGTGGTGTATGTTATTACTGTACCACTACTAAGTTACTATCCTGTCATCACTACACAACAAGAGCAGGTTATGGAGATTGGTGATGACAGGTCTATTGTATATTTACAATAACTTACAGTTGACAAGTATATTTATAGTTACATAAAAGTACAGTATGTGAAAAAACTACCTATCAAAGGCAGGAAGAACTTAAATAAAAGTGTAGACATTTTTACTGACACTTCAGACTTTTGGCCATTTTTTAAACATTGGGCATACTCATTAGTGTCCCAAAAGCAACCCTCCAAGCCATAAACCATTTTTTAAAACCAAGTGTTTGGGTCACTTTAAAGTTACACTGCTATACCACCTGACACTCCTCACACCTGCTGCATACATTCTTTTTACTCGGAGGGAAGGTCAGCTTGCTGTCAATAAAGGGAGCAGCTCTCGGTTAAGCACCCATATTATGAAATCACTTTCTAAATATGGAAATATATTAAATCAATAATGTCTGTCTGTCCTTAATGATACAGAAACACTCATGAATAAACTTATCAAATCAGTTAATCAACATCTGTTATGAGACACCTTTGCTATACCTCCTGATGGCTAAAGCAGCGCAGTCATGGTACACATGTCATGGACTATCTGCACTACTCTACTTCCTTGACAGCATTAACCATGTACCCAGGCTGCTGAGTTATGACCTAAAACTCCAGCTCCAACCCTAAGATAGCAGCTAAAAGATTCCTTCTTACCTACAGTACCTTATTATATCTTGCCAAGTAATTGTGGTGGGGTAATGTATTATCACACTGGCCATCTGTGTCCATCCGGCATCTGTCAGTTTTGGTTTCCAGTCATTATCTTTTGACTGCCAAGACTAATTCATGTTATGTAAAAATATTTTCATTAATCTAAATCAAGTTCAATTTGGTGCAATTAACTATCAGAGTTATGCTTGTTTCCATTACCTCATTTGTGGTTTCTGTGTACAGTACAGCTGAGTCTCGATAATTAGTGAAATACAAATTCACATTCTTAAACTTGCGGGTGCCTCTATTACCAACTCTTATTATATTTCACGGTCAAATATTAATAATTTGCGGCGAGCTCTGACTGCCGCAGTCTTTGCTTGAATTTGCCTTGGAAATAAAGATAATATAATATGAATATCACTTTAATGCTCTAATGTGACTTAAAATAAACAAAATACAATATAAAACTATAGAATAAGAAAAATGAAAAGAAGTATTTGAGATGTATGTGGGAAGCAGAGCAGTTCCCGAGCTAAGCGCACACACACCCGACCTCATTAATACAACATTAAGGATTACTTGTAACAACAATATGCCCTCCAGGTAGGGGATAGGTATGGCATAAACACAGATACAATATATGCTCACCTCAGAGCCTTACGTTTTGTTCTTATATTGAGGAAAGAGATTTTGTTTTTATATAATCACAAAAGGTGATGAGTGTATAACTCTGGTAAACTACAACACGGAACATAACTCTGGTAAACTACAACACGGAACATAACTCTGGTAAACTACAACACGGAACATAACTCTGGTAAACTACAACACGGAACATAACTCTGGTAAACTACAACACGGAACATAACTCTGGTAAACTTCAACACGGAACATAACTCTGGTAAACTACAACACGGAACATAACTCTGGTAAACTACAACACGGAACATAACTCTGGTAAACTACAACACGGAACATAACTCTGGTAAACACGGAACATAACTCTGGTAAACTACAAACATAACTCTGGTAAACTACAACACGGAACATAACTCTGGTAAACTACAACAAGGAACATAACTCTGGTAAACTACAGCACGGAACATAACTCTGGTAAACTACAGCACGGAACATAACTCTGGTAAACTACAACACGGAACATAACTCTGGTAAACTACAACACGGAACATAACTCTGGTAAACTACAACACGGAACATAACTCTGGTAAACTACAACACGGAACATAACTCAGGTAAACTACAACACGGAACATAACTCTGGTAAAGAAAATGGAAACTGCCAATCGCTGAACTTGATTTAGATATTCATAACATGAAGTTGTAGAGTAAATGTCATTTTGATATGGTAAGGCTTTACCAAGTTACTGAAGATAAATAACAATTTGTGTTGACAGATGAACCGGGTCACCTTTTATGTCTCCTCATATTCTATGGTGAGGCATAAAAACATTAGTAATTACAATAAAAAAATATATATGTGCAAGAAAAATAATAGTAAATTAGAATTAAAAAATATTGATGCATGCTAAATCTTTGAAGCCATTTGTACACAGACTCAAAATACACATAGATGTAAGAACGACTTTGAGATTCCTATGTAAACACATACATAAAATCATCAAATCCATTTGGATTAAACCTATGTTAGGGTGAGCCAATGTTACCTAAGATATATTTTCATCAGGTTACAAAACTTGAGTCAAAGATTTAAATAAACTTTGACATTTAAGACTTTCTTTATCATTAGTACATTCAATAACCATCTGTGTGTGTATGCCTTTAACACAGCCAGTGTAGGGAGAGAATGTACAAATCTTACCAATTACATTGATTATATATCACTACATACAAATCAGATCACAATATCAATATAAAATATGAAACTAATACCTCTATTACTAGTGATAAAGGCATTTAAAATGGATCTCTGCACAAAAAATATTTCTGTACATTTTTGCTATAACACACACTTATGGTATATTTCACACTTAAGGTATATTTGGTTAATTTTCCTCAATGCCCACCCCTCACCTCAAATAATATTAACCCCTTAAAAAAATATAAATTTGATACTTGTGCTTCTTCACAACCAACAAGTCATATTATACAGTTTGGCACACCGCCACACTAAAGTTCCCCGGAAGCTACAACTTGAAATGTCACGTCTTTGTTTTAACTAACCTACCGATGAATTACTTGTTCATAATGTATTTTGAAAAATTAATTTGAATGGATTTTGTTTTATAAGCTGCCTGGAGAGTTGTGTTGATCAATGTGTGTTACCTTCACTAAATTTAAATGTATAAAAGAAGGGCTGATCATGAAAGTGGTGAAGGTTCTTAATGTGGCGGATGATGCCACCCTGAAGAAGCTGCCTCCCATACTTGACTGCGTCAGTTCGGTCCCGTGCAAGACCCACCAACAACAGCCAGTCAACAAGCTCCTTCCCTCCAAACACAGCAGACAAGTTCTTAAGTCTCCATCTAAAACACAAACAAGAAAACAAAAATATACATTTACCTATACAGTATACAACTTCCATAAAATACTTTGGATACTGTTCTTTGGTCAATACTTTTGATATGTGTTGTGGAGGTGTGTCACTCAGTGTCCACTTGAGAGGGGAAAATTAAATAAAAATAACATACAGGCAGACCCCAATGTATGAAAGGATTCCATTCCTGAAAATATACCTTTTGTAAGTAAAGTCTTATTTTCCCATAGATTCCCATTATAAAAACTGAGATAAGTTCCTTAAAAACAAAAACAAAAAACTACTGTACTGAGTTACTGGGACATGTAACAGTAAGCTTAAATGATAAATTGGAGTACTTGACATGTAAGGTGATGGTGCAGGTGGACTGTGGTGTAGCTGGCTGGAATTTTTAGTTAAGTTGTAAGTGTTACAGCTTTCTTGTTTTTTTAGATTCAGTACTGCCACCACAACCACCTGAACTATGAACTATGTTATTAGTCATTTTGATATGAAGACTCAGTAAAGTACCTACATACTACACAAGGTAAACTGTGAGGAGTAAGCTTGATGTCATCTTCCCAGACTCAAACAACCAAAGAAGCTGATGCTGAGCCAGAGGTAAACCAAGAATGACACAAGGAGAGGTTGTAATAAGTAACCTCAAAGATATGAACCAGACGAGAGAGGCATCAAGAGACTGTACAGAATGAAGAGCTGCAATTAAGTAATCTGAAAAAATTTGGTGTAAATAGTGATGGTGATTTACACAACACTTATTGCTCACCTTCTATCTCTGACAATGTCCTTCATACATTTGTCCATGTGATAGTTTGAGAACTGCTCGCACGTCTGTCGGGTCTTGGGGTCAAGTTCATCCCACGAGGGAAGTTTAACTGCAGCTGCACCATTACACATTTGTCTCCACCTGGATGAAACATAAGATACATTTAATAGATGCCAATTTTTTCAAATTAATCAATATATTAGTGAACTGCTGTACAAAGTTTCATGATGTGTTTGATATGTCCCAACTGATGCCTCCCTGCTCAACATGCAGACATACACAAATTATAGTACTGTACTGTACTGTACTGTACTGTACTGTACTGTACTGCACTGGTACTGTACTGTACTGGTAATGTACTGTACTGTACTGGTAATGTAATGTACTGTACTGTACTGTACTGCACTGGTACTGTACTGTACTGGTAATGTACTGTACTGTACTGTACTGCACTGGTACTGTACTGTACTGGTAATGTACTGTACTGCTGTACTGGTACTGTACTGTACTGTACTGTACTGTGGTACTGTACTGTACTGTACTGTACTGTACTGGTACTGTACTGTACTGTACTGTACAGTACTGGTACTGTACTGTACTGCACTGGTACTGTACTGTACTGGTACTGTACTGCATTGGTACTGTACTGTACTGTACTGCATTGGTACTGTACTGTACTGTACTGTACTGCACTGGTACTGTACTGTACTGTACTGCACTGGTACTGTACTGTACTGGTACTGTACTGTACTGCATTGTACTGTACTGCATTGGTACTGTACTGTACTGTACTGGTACTGTACTGCACTGGTACTGAACTGTACTGTATTGGTGCTGTACTGTACTGCATTGGTACTGTACTGCATTGGTACTGTACTGTACTGTACTATACTGCACTGGTACTGTACTGTACTGTACTGTACTGGTACTGTACTGTATTGTACTGTACAAAAAACCCGCATCAATACACAAATTGTCATGGCACACTTTACATTAATGAATGGACATATACAGTATGATTTTTAATTACAAAGTTCTTTCTATGTCAAAATGTTTATTTAACTTATTAATTGGCCAAAATACCCAGGCATTAGCGCATTGTATCCCTAGTACAGCACAGTACAGTACAGCACAGTACAGTACAGTATAATACAGTACAGTACAGTACAGCACAGTACAGTACAATACAGTACAGTACAGTACAGCACAGTACAGTACAGTACAGTACAGTACAGTACAGTACAGCACAGTACAGTACAGTACAGTACAGTACAGCACAGTACAGTACAGCAGTGCACAATACAGTACGTATACAGCACAGTACCAGTACAGTACAGTGTACAGTACCAGTACAGTACAGTGCAGTACAGTACAGTACAGCACAGTACAGTACAGTACAGTACAGCACAGTACAGCACAGTACAGCACAGTACAGTACAGCACCATACAGTACAGTACAGTACAGTACAGCACAGTACATCACAGTACAGCACAGCACAGTACAGTACAGTACAGTACAGTACAGTACAGTACAGTACAGTGCAGCACAGTACAGTACAGTACAGTACAGTACAGTACAGTACAGTACAGTACAGTACAGTGCAGCACAGTACAGTATGTAGAATTTATTCATGATACTCTTTAAGTTCAGTAGTCCATCACTTGCTCTACTCACCATCTCAACAGAGGTATGACAATGAGCTTTGAGTCGAGCCCAAAGATGGCTGCAGTGAAGAATCCTTGGCCAAAGTTGAGGACAATGTCCAGGAATACCAGCTCTACATACACACCATTCACCTCCTCTGTTACCAGAGTCCACATGCATAAGGCAAATCCCTGTAAGATAACATGAAATATACTTTCATTTACTAATGTTTTGGATGGTTGTGAAAAAAAATATGGTATAATAACAAATTATAAAACCATTAAATATTTTTGGCTTTAATAAATAGGATGAAACACAAACACAAACAGTGCTGTACACACACAATGGGGAGGGAGTCACGAGAGCATTAAGAAATGAGATGAGTCCGTGTGTTTGGTGACTGCATCAAGTGCTTGTTTCCATTAACCTGTTGCAGTTTACTTAAAGAACATTGGTGATGAGTGGAACTGTCATCAAAGAGATCTCCACTTTAACAGTTGTGATGACTTACCACAATCATGGACCCACACAGGAAGAGTAGTAGCACAACGTGTCTCATCATCTGAAACTCATCGTCCCGATCTCGCAGGATGGCAGTCTCCTCTGGTTCGGTCAGTTGTGAAGTTATTATATAACGCGGTTCATTGTCAGAATAATCATCTCTCTGGAGTGACTCGGGGCGACAGCGACTCCCCCTACTGAGTTCATCGTGTGGGCTGAATAAGCTGTAATACAAGACAAATATGAGTTACACCTTGTGCTAACCTCAACTACACAGTTCTACTGATTAAACTAATAGTCAGAGAAGATAAAGAATCTGTAAAAATAAATCTATGGAATTAAATATTAAGAAAATATCAGGCAGTAGCATGCCTGAGCTTAAGTAAATGTTACTCTGTCTGTTAGTGAGGATTCCATATTATTACAGTACATACACCTCTTGAATTTACTTACCCTAAATAGTTAGCACGCACGCACGCACGCACGCACGCACACACACACACACACACACACACACACACACACACCTGAGAGAGAGAAAGTGAATTAGAATATTAGAGGAGACATATTTCAATCACTTCCCTTTCACGTTTTAGAAAATTGTAATTCCAAACTTCAGAACAAGATAAGAAAATTGGATCAATGCAGTAAAAAAAAAAAGAAAAGAAAAAAGAAGACTAAAAAACGAAGATAAATCAATCCAGGATCTGCAGGTAATACTCAAGGAGTTGCCAGCTCAGAGGGCACTTGAAAGCCACACATAATACATATACTAATGCCCAGTTCCCACTCGGTTAAATTGGCTTGACAAAAGAAAAGGGCATCCAGCTGTAAAACTTGCTTTAGATTTGCCTGATATCAACCAAGACACCTTGCCATCACACGATCATGCAGAAAAGGGCCGTAAAACAGTAGTGATGATGATATATCAGTACAAACTCACCTTTCACTGTCAGAAGAAACATTGTCATCAATGCCAGTCTCTGGATCTCTTGTCCTGTCCTCAGCATCAATAGAGGAGCTGCTTAACGACCCATTGCAATCTATAACACAAGTGGAAACAACTTAATTATACTCACTTAACCTATCACAACTCCACTGACTAATAACATTCTAGTAAAAACTAATTACTTTAATCAGGTTTGGCACTCCTAAATACTGTACAGTAAGTACAAAAAATAATAATTATAAAATAATATATATATATATATATATATATAATATATATATATATATATATATATATATATATATATATATATATATATATATATATATATATATATATATATATATATATATATATATATATATATATATATATATATATATATATATATAATCCCAGTGGTAGCACCAGCCAGTTGTGAAGCAGGGAGCAAGATCCAAGAAAATAATACAACCACTACCACTGTAGCTCTTTGCTCAGTTAATAGGAAGCCCTTTAAGGTACAGGGGCCCCCCCAAATTCACGGATTTTTATTTCGATGTCCTCTATTATTCACGGATGACACTCTGGATGTACCCAAGAATGTCTCTTGGATAGTTTTAAAGTTGCCGGCATTTTTGCAGCTGGGATAGGGAGTCATTTGTTCTAGACAGTAATTTCCTTTACCTGTATTGCAAATATGTGTGTGTGTTGTGTGTGTATCTACACACACAACACACACACATATACAGTAAAGGGAATATACCCCCCCGTCAGCAAATGTTATTTGCAGATTTGGCGATTCACGGCCATTTTGAAAACCCATCCCCTGCGAATCTGGGGGCCCCCTGTACCCAACTATGTTGTAAATATATATACCTTGTATATATCAGTCCCCCAATATCAAGCTGGATTTCATATGTATAGTGAAAAGAATATACAGTATACTGTACAGTACAGTGGCCTGATCAACACTCAAGCAATTACCACTTGCTTTTACTACAAGATGATAATTAATGAGAAGTATCTGTATTGCCTTGGCATGTATTAATAACAAAGAGATACAAGACAAGAAACAACAGCCTCTATAGATGTAATGCAACACAAGATGAAGGAAAATTGTGTGAGATCTGGGAGTGTATGACAAATTAACTCACTTATTCTTGGAGCATCTACAGTAGATGAGCGCGGAGACCCTCTAGGAGACCCTCTAGGAGACCCTCTTGGATCATCGGGATCATCGAGGTTGAGTAAGGACTCATATTGTGCATAGCGCCGCTCATGTCGTTGGTGGAAGATGAGACACACCACAGTTGCTGTTAACAAAAAAATATATATAGTATACTGTATATACAGGTATAATATATACTGTATATATATATACTGCACATACAGTATATAAAGTCATACAGTACATGGTGTTAATTTATTAGAAAGGTTTATGTCTGTAGGACAAGGTTTAAATATGTTTCAACAACTTATGACTGTAGAACCTTGATCTATATTTAAGGCAATGAACTAATTGACAGAGAAAACTAAATTAATTAAAACAATCCCCTATTCTTGAAAATTTTTGCAGCCATCAGGTCACTCACACAGGCATGGAAAATGGTCGTTAAGTGCCGATAATGATGGTGGTTATGTGTCAATCAAACATAATCATCATCAACATTTTACAAATCATTTTCCACGCTTGTGTGGGTTAGCCACAATTAATTGATGGCAGTTCTCCATGTTGCAAGGTCTCTTGCAGTCTCTCTTATCAGGTTCTTAACTTTATCTTCTTGTCTTCCTTACAGAAATTAATTAATATTTCTCCTCTTTCATTTCTATTACCCAATCCATGTGATCCTACTTCTGGTGCTTCTTTCCCAACATTACCCAGAAGTCATGGCAAAACACTACTGCTACAGCCACTGTCTAAGAGTCATCTTTGTCTCACTTCTCTCCTCAAGTTAGAATGATAAAAGTGACTTACTGATAAGACTGAACCAGAGTAACAGCAAGGCAACAATGGCTTGTGCTGAACCATACTGAAAATTTGGATCATGTTTGTCTGCTACTTCTGTTTCTTGCTGCACCATTAAGATAAGAACTGTGACCATGACAGCTGGCAACCTGTGATAAGAAGGAAAATGTTATGGTTAACACATGACCAGCAACAACTACAACACGACCAATGATCTCACTTCAGACTAAACTAAAGCGGCAATTGAGGAAAAGAAGGAATTTTTTGCCTATTCCAGCATTACTTATATTGCACGTATTAATGTTCATCCACAAAAAAAAATTAAAAAGGTGTGATTAAGGTCCTCAGATACAGGCATAGGTGAGACACCTTTGTAAGCATTAATTCCCATCCCTACTACAGTACAGTACAGTCTCACCCCCAACCAACTACAGCAAGGAAGGGTCGGAGTCGCAAAACAAAGCAGAGGGAGCGCCAGCGCAGGAGGAACAGGGTGATGGCCAGGATGGCTGTCCAGAGCCGGGAAGAAAATACTCCCCAGGAGAAGAGTATAAACTGCAGGTACAACTTCCAGGTGTGGTTACACTCCAACACAGACCATAAAAGTGCCCCTGAAAAGAAAATGCAAAACATGTAATGTACTTGTATAGATTGTGAATTTTAACATGCCTGGCAAATAAACCTGTCAATTTTAAATTAATAAAACATGTGTTTGTTTTTTAACTCTGACAGTTTGGTGAATCCTGGCCTTCATATAACTAGCTTAGGTGTCTGCTGTGGCTCTCACTTGAAGGACTGGTTAATCCCTGAATCCTGACACTGGTTATTGAGATAAATATTCTACCAATGGATACCCCCAGACTAGAGGTATGACTGAGACAGTAACCTCAGTCTACCAACATCCCTTACAACTAACAAGACTGTACTATGAGAGCTATGTACAGCACTGTATTGTAGAAAACACGAGTAACTTGCCTACAGCGCTCGACCAAGTAAAGGGATTTCAGAATTCAGTTTCCTCATATATATTGTCTGCTTAAAACAGAGACTCTTAACTCACCAATACAAGCTACACCTTGAGATAGAGCCAAACACATGGTAATGAAGTGAGGAACTTTTCTCCATTTACGACTCAATATGAACACTGTTAACACCCATATCTGAAAAAGAAAAAAAAATCAATATTGTGCAGATGCTGAGTCATTCACATTTCAAAGGTGAGATTAAGCTAACAACCATGAAGTTTTAAAAATATTTTATGTATGTCATCCTGCTGAAAGTGCAACACCTACACAGACTCATGCACATAAGCGCTCATTCAAACACATGTGAGTACACACGTCTCTTCTTCTCTTTGCTGTCACTCCAAATTGAATATCATGATAATCCAAAGGTGACAAAATTATAGCACTTTTAAAAGGCCAACATATGATCAGCAGGGTCATTCATAGAGGATACAGGTGTGGAGGGCTACATCTAGTGTGGGAGGAGCTGTGGTAGCATCCATCCTTCCAGTACTGGAACTTGTCCGTTTCAGCATGAACTGGTAGTCAATCAACCCTGAGGGTTTTACAACCTCTTGTGCAGTATATATGTACTTCTCTAATAGTCACAGTTGAGGTGATGGTCTCTCAGATAAGAGTGTTGATGTGGCACTCTTTTGGACTTGTCTTAAGAGTATTCTTGTACTTCTTCCACTACTGTACTGTATCTGTGTTGGCCAGTCTTTGAATGGTGGCAGTGAAGCTCACATGTAAGGCTGTGACAAGTGACAATTAAATGTCCAATTACCCCCTAAATGAGACGGCATCTTTATCTCGTACACCTGCATGGCCTTGAGCATATAACACAAGAATACACTGTCACCACATCATGTCCTCCTTAAAAGTTCTACAATGGATGTTTCATAAAGCAAGTACAGTACAGTACTGTACTGTACTGTACAGTACTGTACTGCACAGTGCAGTACAGTACAGTATAGTACAGTACAGTACAGTACAGTACTGTACACAGTACATACACATACAGTATAACTATACATACACATACAGTATAACTATGTCTACTGACGCTGTTAAAATAACACTCTTTACATACCGTACATATGAGACCAATGATGCTGACATTAAAAAGAATTGATTCCAGTTCCTTCACATAGTCCAAGGGATTGATCTTCACCAAGGTGACCATCTTGGCTGATACAAACATTAATGGGGCTGACAAGAAGGTACATGCAACCATTGCACTTGCTATCTGCAAAAGTAAAAATTACATCATTATACATTACTTCCAACTGCATGTAAGTAATACCTGCCATCATTGTTTCTTTTACTACCTCTCCATTTATTACAGCCTTCACACAGTCATTTAGTACATTCCTTCTTTTCCACACTTCACGACACACACTGTACTGTATGTCCATTAATTTTGTATTTTAGTACTGTACAGTGCAATATAAATGTGATATACTTGGGACCAAGTAATGAACAGACTTTAGATTTTTATTGATTTTAGAAATATGGGAAACAGTGTGTGGTCTGAACATGTCAAATTCTTAATAAAGAGTTTCTCACTGCAATAATGATTTGAGGTGGTGATGTAACTTATACAACCCTCCAGGTGTATACTAACAAGGGTCACTGTTCTTACATTACCTGGGCACATTTTGTGCACCAACAGAAAAGCAGAATTAATGAACACAGAATTAATAAAACAAAAATCTGAGAAAAGCACAGACCTTTACTGCCAACACAACTTTTTATTATAGTTTTTATGAAAAATTAAATTACAGGTATAAAAGATAATATAAATCCTCATCAGCTGTACACGGGACACAGGCAGCAAGATAAATGAGACTAGCTCTGGTCTAACCTAACCTACCAGAGGGGAGAGGGTTGCCGTCAAACAACACCATGACATTCTCACCTCCCTCACAGTGGAAGTTTTAGGACCAAAATTCATCCCATTTTTTCCATAAGCTATAAACGTTATTTCCATGAATTTCATACGTAAAGCAAGAAGTAACCGGAATATCTTGTTGGATGGTACACTAATTGCTGCAACTCTAAAGGTGAACAAGAACACAATTATATAAGAAATTAGGTAAAAGTTGAAGATATTCCCCCATAAAACAATATTTGGTTGATCAACTTACCAGATCAACAGCAATATTATACTGGGAAGCAAACACAAAGACACCTGGAGCTGTGGGGAAAGTGCCATAGAGGAAACCATAGTTGCTGAAATCTGCCGTTTCATTAGCGTCATTCCCCGGGTGAAGGAGCCCCACAATCAGACGAGTGGTCAGCGGAAGAAACAGCCTACAAGAGATATACTCATGTTAGCAAGTTAATGAGAAAACATAATGTATTCTATTGTGTATCTTAAAATAATCTATGGAGCTAAAAGTCAGTACAGTGTATTATTGTTTATCTTTTTATATAAATCTTAGAAGAAACAAAGTATTAAATAGTCATCTGAAACTTCATAAAAATATCTGTCTGGCTTTTGACATCTGGTCATGGTCTAGTTCTCCTCTAAATAAGGGTTGGTCCTTCACATGCCACAACATTCCTTGGTGTTAATTTCAGACTTATTATTTTTACTCTAATATAATTTTCAAGCAATATTTATATAATTACTCTCTTGAAGTGCCAATTAACTATTTTCTCTCAAAATTCTTTACTATCTAATCATGGAAGACAGAAAATATCTTCACTAAATAAGAAGATGGCAATTTTAATGCATTATTTCACCACTTGTCAATTTGTTTCCTTCTTTGTAATTCTACAAACTGTACTGTACTACTTCTGTACTTTTAATATTCATTTACTGCATTAATATATACAGTAGTTACAGTACAGGATATTTAAAGGAAATTAAGCATTTAATTAGTTTTTATTTTTTACTGTAAAACTGGAGAGTGAGTTTTGAGTGTGAGATGAGACAATGTTTGATCAGTGACTACCGCGCCACAGAATGACTCACGTTTTTGTAGCAATGAGGATCCCTGGAATAACAAGCCCTGAACCTCTCAGTGTTTGCACTTTTCCGACCATCCGCAGACCCAGAAGGAAGAGAGCGGCTGCAGAGAAGGCTTGACCGAACACCTACAAATGTGAGATGTATACTGTACAGTTTATTACAAAAATGTCATAATAAACACAATTCTTTGTACTTCTATCTTCAAAACAAGTGGCTTTAGAAAAAGAAAATGTGGTAAATAAATTTTTACCAGTGGGGGTAACTCTGGCTACAGCTGAGTGACCCTTAATGGGTTATCCCCACAAGGTAAACACTTGCACATTTACTGTAAGTACTTAAGCTTTTCTAACACTATGTAAATTTCTAGGTAGGCTGGAGTAATTGTCTCATACTACTCGAGAAATTAATCATAATCTAACCTTTAGAATCCCCTCTAGGATATTGGGAAGTTTGTGATCGAAGATAAAATTGCCCACAATGCCTAGAGTTGTCATAAGTACTATGGGGTTGAGGAGAACATCACGCAGGATATGTACAACCAGACGACATCCACTCTCTTTGGACACGGAGCCTTCATCACCATCTTGGTTATTGTTCTGGCGTTTCCCAATCTGGAAATGTTAGCATTGATGTATCTTTCTAGAAAACTTACCCAAGAGTATAAAATCCTTTATCTAACCTAACCTAACCTGTGAGTGAAGATGCAACACATAATACACAGATTGTGGAATAAAGTTAAATCAATGGAAGATAAAGACAATAAACCTCTGCTATGGATGATTGTACACACAGGACTTGTCACACTCTGCCTCCTAAATCAGTATGACCCCAATAAGTGAACTATTCAGGGAAAACACTTGCTTGAAAATGTGAACAATTTACCTCCCAACAAATTATATATTTCTAATCCAAAATAACAGTAATGCAGCTTAGGGTTGGTTGTTTTAATGGTTAATAGTAAAACTGTACATTAACTAGTGGATTGGGTATCTAACAAACCCAAATTAAAGGAATAAAACCCCTAACAATGGGTGACTTAAGTGTAAAAATGGTTTGGAGCCAAAAGTGGAAATATAAACAGTTAGGTTGAGGAATAACTGAAATTAAACAAAAATGAACCAAGACCATACACTGAACCACCTAGATGGAGCTAACTGGCTGTCAGATCCTCTACCATTGGACATAAAGGAGCAGGAAATAACACTCAGTAGAAAATATTATGTGCAGACCTGATGTACACCAAGAAGAGAACACAACTTTCTTAATACTGTAAATAACTTCAGATAACACACACACACACCACGCGCGCGCACACACACACACACACACTACTTCATTTATTGTCACGAGTCAATTCAAGTTATAGGTTAATTCATCATTATTAATGTCTAATGACTCTTGGAAGTATTTCTTTTCTTATCACTTTATTTAATTACAAATGTTGAGTTTAGGTTTTTAATGTGACACTGGGTGATGCTTAGCCACATACAGTAGTGACCTGAAGACAAGGTGCTCATGAAACAAACATGCGAGGAAACTGAATAAAGTCCAAGTAATGGGTGAATGATCAGGGTTCTCTCACCTCCATAAGGATGAAGCCAATGGGGTTCAATAGCACGAGGGAGATAGGGGCAACCAAGTAGAGATATAAGGCAAACTCTGGGTGAGTTTTGCCATATAGTGCGGCAACTGTAACAAAAATACAAACATCATATATCAGTAATAAGGCAAGGCTGTGAAAGAGGAGCCAACAGGGAAGGCAAGGCTGTGAAAGAGGAGCCAACAGGGAAGGCAAGGCTGTGAAAGAGGAGCCAACAGGGAAGGCAAGGCTGTGAAAGAGGAGCCAACAGGGAAGGCAAGGCTGTGAAAGAGGAGCCAACAGGGAAGGCAAGGCTGTGAAAGAGGAGCCAACAGGGAAGGCAAGGCTGTGAAAGAGGAGCCAAGGCTGTGAAAGGAGCCAACAGGCAAGGCTGTGAAAGAGGAGCCAACAGGGAAGGCAAGGCTGTGAAAGAGGAGCCAACAGGGAAGGCAAGGCTGTGAAAGAGGAGCCAACAGGGAAGGCAAGGCTGTGAAAGAGGAGCCAACAGGGAAGGCAAGGCTGTGAAAGAGGAGCCAACAGGGAAGGCAAGGCTGTGAAAGAGGAGCCAACAGGGGTTATAGGAGGTAAGATAATGCTTTATGGAAGATCACACACAGACAGTATTATACCAAAGGGATAAATGTTTGTAGTTTGGTATTATACCCTGAAGAGGTTAACTATCATTGTCATGTGAATTTAAAGGTCAGGTGAATGGATTTTCACTCTGCCATATCATAATAGGTTTGCTGAAGCTGATATTTCATTGTTTTTCCCACAATGAAAGAGCTTCAACCAAAATGAATTGTGATAAATTCTGGAAAAAATCTGGAGAAGACTATAAGCAAAAGACTCTGAAGACTCACTGTACAGTACACTCAGTAGTTATCCAACACAGAACAAAATTAAGATCATTTAGCTTATGGATCTATTATGGGAAGCATCAAGTTTACACCATCTGTTTATGCCTACGAGGACAACTGGTTACTGTCTCATGTGTCCAAGTGAATCTATGGGTGTATAATGGCATTGGCAATTATACCAATTCTCCTCAATTTCACTTTAAACTTTGTGCTGTTATACAGTTGAGACTTTATCCCATGATTAAGCTGGTTGCTTTGTGGAGGTAGCACCTGAGACCCAAAATATTTACCAATACAGTACAGTATCTGACACACCTACTTTACAAGGCATAGATCCTTTAGCTCTAGATAGTACTGTACCCTAATTTAACATATACTTCCTTGTCTTTTTTAAGGTTCCCCACACTACTTTTTAAAAAATACAACCAGTTTCCAGAGGTGACTAAAACCAGACTACAGGTATAAATAAAATGTAAAAGAACAAAAAAAAAAACCAAAAACATTCTCCCCCTGGACAATAAACATCAATGTGTCATAACAAACCAACTCTACTTTACCTAAACACATCTAACATAAAACCTTTTTAGGGTTGCAAGAACAATTTTATTTATCTAATTTCAGATGGAAGATAATTTTTTAAAACTGCAAAAGTTAAATAATGTTTCTATAGCTACACCTACAGTGTCATTTAAAAACACGAAGATACAACACCCCGTACAGTACTGCACTGTACCGTACTATACTCACTGATAGGATACCCCAGAGCAAAATCATTACTCTGGGTACAGAAGATGGCAAACAGCCCAGCTTTCCCAAAATCTACAGGTCTGTACACCAGCAGTGTCACCAGAATCACCAAGAAGAACACAGTAGTCTTAGAGATGCAGATTGACAGCAAAAATATCCAGTTAACAGAGCTGAAACATAACACAATACTGTGTATAAAGATACAGTACTGTACTCTACAGTGAGTTGAGCAAATTTATATAATTATTCAAGCTTGTACAGATATAAAGTCAAAAGTTAAACTGTTACAGGTACCAATATTATTGTCAATAAAATATCGTGTCAGTAAATTTCTCTTCAAATGTTAAACAATTTTCACAAATGAAACTAAACTTTCAAATATATCAGATTGATAATTGCAGAGCTAAATAAAGCAAAACCAGTGTGGTGGTGATTATAACTCACTGACAATTCACTCACCTGAAATCTAATTGTGCCATTGACATGAATATCAATGATGGGAGAGAAAACGTGCCAACAAATGTGTTGAGACCCTTAGACTCTGTCTGTGATACGAGATTGCATCGCCCCGCCAGATACCTTGGGATAAATACAGTACACTGTATGTAGGATAAGATTGTTTCCTCAAAATACACTTACTCACTATCATTTACTGGTACTGTATTGTACTGTAATTTAATTTTAAAACTTAGTGAAAGAAGTTCTGATCTATTGTCAACCGATTCTACAACACTGAATTTCGAACAAACTACTGTAGATAACCAGCCAGAGAAGGAACTGTTTATGCAATATAGAACTACAGTACCTAAGTGTTACTGTACAGTATACTATATGTATGATGCTTAGTGTTTATTAAAGCAGTTTTGTAACAGTTTATGGGTATTTCTTGGTTTCTGGAACCTAACTAATTATTTCAGTTTAAACCAATTAAACAATTATTTGCTATTTGATAATTCATGAATTATCGAGACTCCACAGTACTGTAAATTGTCAAATTTTCTCTTTATGCCATAAACTGTGTTTCCTACTACAGTACTGTACTGTATACAGTACTGGTCACAAAGCTTTATTATTGAGTTTTGGGACAATTTCCACTCAATGCTTCCTTCTTGCACTATAGATCTCAGTACAGAAACATAATCTTTTTATTTGTATTGAGGCAGGCTACAGCCACACATCTTGCAGATAGCTGCAACAACTGGAGGGAGAGAGAGTTGCAATGGACTGCCAATAACCCAGTTTATTGGGCTTCACCTTAGTAGCCCATCCAACCTGCACTGCCTTCATCCACCAGTGTACAGTAGTTGTTGGGTTCCCGTGCAGTGACACATACTGAAAGTTACACCTCCTATCCCAATGCTGGGAAATAAAAGACAATATTCTTACCCACAAAGGATGATGACAAAACACTCAATGACAGCAGGGTAGAGGTTAGAGAAGGCTACATCAGAAATCTGTCCATCATCACCTTCAAGGAAGGGCAAGGCAGAGGAGGCCAACTCATCGTCCTCGGTCAAGTTCATTTTCAGGAATTCTAGTTGCCCATACACCTGCAGAAGAGAAATGGAAGAATTATAGTAAAGGAATATTAGCAGTTTCGTGCTGGAAGATGTATTACTAAACACAAAATGCGTGTTAAGGACACACGACTGAAATTATGAAAAATATTGTTATAGAGCCATCTGCCTGAGAAGGAGTAATGAGATTTATCATGGAAGATATTTAACCCTTAAAGGCAGTGTACATTGGCAGAAGTCCATACCTGTACACATTAGTAGAGCCAAAAATGAAAATCATGTCATGAACTTTATAGTACAGAACAGTATTATGAAATGTAAGAGATATATGTTAGTGAATAGGAAAATACATATATACTACCCTATACTAAATTTCCATTTCCAAGGTTCTACCGCCTGGGAAGATATTGGAAGCATAATGTGTTGTCTAATGATAGACCCTGCTGCCATATGGCATCACGAAAATTGTGACCAAGTCCCAGGTTGCTGATCTGACTTTTTGCCTCGTTTACACATAATTGCAGGGTCTCAATTGTTTCTCTTACTATTGACAACACAACATACATATATTGTTTCTCACTCTTGATCATTTTTTTGTTTTTGTTTTATGGTTCTTTAATATTATTATTATTATCATTATTATTATCATTATTATTTTATTTTCAATTTTGTATTTTTTATTATAAATTTTATTTACTATGAATTATTATTATTATTACATTTTCACCCCCCAAGCCCCGATGTGGGCTAATCCCCGTGTAAAAAAACACACACACACAAAAAAAAAAATAGTGAGTGTTGCTGGGTTGAGAAGTCAAGGAGTTTATGTGCCCAGTTACTGCACAAAGATATGATGAGATGTTTCTGCCATGTGAGATGGTGTAGTGTAGGATAGTGTAGCATATTGTAGTGTAGTGTAGCATAGTGTAGTGTAGTGTAGCGTACACAACCTTCTGATCACTAACTGTGTATGGAGGCTGTAAATGTTATTTATTCATACTTACACAAAATAATGAGATCCACAAAATCAGTTTCCCAAATTCAGTACAACTTAAAACTTTGACACCTTTCTCCTTCCTCCTGTTCTCTGACTTTAAATACTTAAGGAAGGTCATCTTTGTGTTTAAACTTTAGGAAAATAGTTGTTAAAAAACATACACTGTCTCAATCACTCAACCAGAGCAATATGGATACCATTTGTCTTCTCCATGATTAACACTACACAGACACTGTTCCTCATATGTACTACAGGAGTCTGTCATACAAGTATGGGTAATGATGATAGTATTCCTTTACCCAAGAAGTAATGCAACTCAACACTGTCTCATGTTTATGTGATGAAGAAGAACATCAACTCATGTTTTCAAATAAACTCTTTGTATGCATGCAAAGTGTGTCCACATGGCCAAGCAGCACAAGTTAACTCAACACCAATGTGCCCTGACTCAATCTTACAGTTGCCAACTCTACTTTCTGGGTCAGTGACGCCATTTTCTGATTCAAGAACTATTGAACCAATACCAATCAATTTGATGGTTGGTAAACTTATCAGTTATATAGGTGCAGTAGTTTATCAATAACAAAATTAGATAAACAAAAATCAATATTAAGCAACATCACAAGAGGTTAGTCACTAGGATGGCAACACCATGCCAGTACAGTAGTGAGGAAACTGAGCAGCATGAACTTTCACTCCCAGACACAACAAAGAAAAACCCTTTAAACCCAACATTCTATTATATTTAATCTGCCTTACTTACACTATAACACAGAGGGAGAGAGAAAAGAGAAAGTGAGAGACAAGAGAGGGTGAGAGATAAGGGAGAAGAGAGCAAAGAGAAAGTTAGAGATATGAGAGACTGGGAGAAGAGAGTGAGAGAAAGGAGAGGGTGAGAGAAAAGAGAGGGTGGGAGAAAAGGGAGAAGAGAACAAAGAAAAAGTGAAAAAAGAGAGAGAGAGAGAGAGAGAGAGAACACAACCAGGACACTGTGTATGAACCTAACAATTACAGTACTTCATCTAAATCCAGTTTAGATGTTCTAAACTGGATTAGGGCTTTTGGTTACAGGATAGGAAACAGAATCAACATTAATGGCACTCAGTGACATCACCAGCGGACTACCCCAAGGCCCAGTACTTGGACCATTACTATTTATTATATACCTAAACGACATATATGTGTAGACAGCAACATAAGTAAATGTGTTGACGACACTAAAATAGGGCGTGTAATTAAACCTGACGAGGACTCGGCAAAGCTACAGGGATATCTAAACAAATCTTTGGTATGGTCTGAAAAATGGCAGATGAAATTTACCGGGTAATGTGGACAAATGCAAAGTACTGTACTTAGTCTAGGAGATGTAAACAGAGAAACCAGATATCAGATGAACAATGTTGTGAGAGAGAGATCCAACTGTGAGAAAGATTTAGGAGTAATGATAAGTAGGGATCTTAAACCAAGACAACAATGTGCACTTGGGTTCATACAAAGGAGTGTTAGTTACAAGACTAGCGAGGTTATCCCAAAACTATATCTTGCACTTGTGAGACCTCACTTGGATTTTGCAGTTCAGTTTTGGTCACCGTACTACATAATGGATATAGAATCCCTAGAAAGCATACACAGGAGAATAACAAGAATAATCCCAGGCATTAGGAACCTTGAATATAAGGAAAGATTAAAGCATCTGAATTTGCATTCCCTCAAGACGTAGAGTGAGAGGCGATATGATTGAGGTGTATAGATCAAAGTCAGGGTTAAACAAAGGTGATATAACAAAAGTACAGCACTTAAATTATCCAACTTGGGCTACCAGCTACTACTACATTACATGATTTATTGGAGATAAAATGAACAAACCAAACTTACCTAGTCCACCAAAGATAAGTTAGGAAGTTAGATACAGTACATAGGTTAGTTAACTTTATCACAGATAAATCATATACTGTAGCAGTACATGTATTTGCTAAGTTTATGGCAGCATTCATGTGGAGGAAATGAAATATCCCAGATGTAAACAGCACCATAGCGCACGACTGGAGCAGCAGTGAAGATGGAAAAAAAACACAAACATAAAAATATTAGTCTGAAATTTTTTTCTTCTTCCCCAAATTTTTTTGTCGTTTCATAAGGCAAGAATACACACACAATATACAATATCTACAACACAAGTGCTGGTTCATGTGCACGACTGTCTTCCAGTACATTATTGCTTAATACAATACTACAGTACAGTACACTTCCATCCTAAGGTAGGTAGGTTTGCTTGGTTCATCTTATCTATAACATTATACAAGGTAATTGTTAAGAACAAGCATCCAGGTTATACAGCTACCCAATGAAAAATCTCTATTTCTTACCACAAAAGTGAAGCAAATTGGGTAGATGGATATCACTTTTGTACTCTGATATTTTCCTGTAAATAAAGATGCTGCCATTGACCACAGCAACACTATGTTAGTGCGTCACTGGTGACATAAGCTTCACAGCAACTGACCAACTCCCAAATGCTTGAAAGCCAGCAATCGACTGACCTTCCTCCTTTCCATACAAACCCACCTGACCTAAAGTCTTAATAATAGAGTGCTGGACAACTCGTGCCAATTATGAGATAACTCGTACCCAATTATGGATGATTTAATACAGGTGTAATACTGAAGAAGTTTTAAAATGATGAATCAAAAGAAGTATGTTACCGTTTATGTGTTATATTTCAAATTATTATTGTTTCATGATTTACTTCAATTTTAACTTGAAATAATATGATGCTTATTTGAGCACAGATCCCCGCCAAACCGTTGTCAATTTCTCGCAACGGCAGAAATCCTGCTGCTTGCTGGGCCATCAGGCCAGCGGCCAACAAAGCGGGCAACATGTTTGAAGGAAAATGCCCATTGTGCAGCCGCCTATAAGGTGATGCCAACACTGCACTAGTGCCAATCAGCCTCGATCATGAGGGGCACCCATCATTATCTACTCTGAACTGCAATAACTTGTCTGACTTATAACATTGTATAGTTAGAGTATTACCATTAAGAAGGTACATTACCTGTAGACATTAACATAACTGGCCCCACACACTAGTCTTATCCCAGTGGAAAAATAAACAACTGTACCTACTACCACTTAAAACACTTCTCAGAAGTAATTTACAGTACTAGCCTTCTATTTTACTGTGCAGTCAGACGAAATGGTGGTTAGTAATAGACACACACCCACAAAAAATGTGTTAATAAGAGACTCACCGGCGTAGGTCAGCAATATAAGGAAATAATCATCCAATAGACTCTACAGCCAGCAGTGGTGACTACTTTCAGGGGAGGATAGTAACATTACAAAGCGTCTCATAATTATACAGTGGGATACTGGCAATCAACCTACTCAAAATAAGATTAATAAAATGAATAACCTAATAATAGACGAGAAATTACCTTATAAAATACAAATTTACTCCAAATATGGAGGAAAGTGTAGCTAGCCGCGCAAGGATCTAAGGTTGATCTCCCGGGGTACATAAGTCACTGGAGCATCACCAACAACAACACAGGTTGAGAGAGAAATATTTATTCAGTAAAATTGTCATACAAGTTTACATTGATTAAGTATGTATATAGGCAATGTAGGTCTACAATATACATAGACAACACGGGTATAAAACCGTTGTACACAGCGTAGACGTTCACCCCCCCCCACCCCCATGCATTACCTAACACAGGGACAAACCCAAGATACCCGACCCGAGGCCCAGGAGCCAGGGCCCATAGCAACACTCACTAGTGACCTAATACTATAAATCATTCGCATTAATGTTCGCTATCATTTATTATTATTTATAATTATATTAATTGATTTAGAAAAATCCGGAATAAATTACCTGGCAAAATTTGTCAAAGCTAAAAGGAAAAGTAATCGGTGACGTGGCCGATCGCCCAAGCGGCTAGCGAGCCGATCAGTGGTGAAGAGGATAAAAGAAAGAAAGAAAAAAAAGATTCGCAGAGTCCCGGCCCAGATATGGTACACCCTAGACTCAGCCTACCCTAGAGTGTTTAGAGAACTGCTTAACGAGCTTGCGGAGTCCCTTAAGATCCTGCTCTGCAAATACCTGGAGGAGCAAAAGGTCCCCGATGACTGGAAAATGGCTTATATGAGTTCTCTATATTCAAAAAGGGCGATCGTCACTACACGAATAATTACAGACCAATGAGCCTGACCCAGCTTGGTGTGCAAAGTACTAGAGAGCATCGTAAGAGATGCCAAGATGGAACATCTGCTACGAGACAACCTTGTAAAGGAAGGCCAACACGGTTTTATGCTGGGAAGATCCTGCTTAGCACAATTACTCAAGGTACTAGATGTATTGACTCAAATCTTAGAACAAGGCGGAAATTTCGACAATATATACCTAAATTTTCCAAGGCTTTCGACAGCGTACCCCATGAAAGGCTGAGAATCAAACTGTAAGGGTACGAGATTCCAGGAAGTGTCCTAGCGTGGATCGGAGACTTACTGCATGACCGCAAACACTGTGTGGTAATAAATGGTGCGAAATCGTCATGCGTACCTGTGACGAGCGAAGTACCACAGGGCAGTGTATTGGGCCCGTTGTTGTTTGTCTGCTTCATTAATGACATGCCTGAAGTTACACACTCCTCCATACAAATGTTTGCGGACGATGCCAAGTTATTTAGGGAAATTAAGAACCAAACACTGCGAGGAGCTGCAGAAAGATCTCTATAAGCTTCAAGAATGGTCGAGGAAATGGCTGCTAAGATTTATTGTCACGAAGTGCAAAAGGATGCACCTGGCCAGCAGTAAGGAGGCATATTACTAGTCCCAACAGGATGAAGAGACTGCATTAATTGAGACCGAATGTTTATGTCGACAACGAACTTAAGTTCTCGGGCCATTGTGAGAAGAAGGTGAATCAGGCAACGAATGTAGTAGGTCTTATAAGAAGGTCGTTTAGATATCTAGACCCTCCTAACGATATGCAAGAGTGAGGCGCTATTGGAGACTGTCAGTTGATATTTGGTTGATTGAAAATGTCCAAAGGAAGGCATCTCCCCTACCCAAAGAGATTAAAGTGCCTGCAACTGCCTAGCTTATACTACAAACGAGCAAGGGGGGGGGAGGCTAATTGAGATACATAAGCATCGCAGAGGGCACTACTCGGTCGAGTGGCCATACATGGAACTGGTGAACGCTCGCCCCACAAGGGGTCACAGCTCAAGGTTGAAGAAGCCGCAAGTCCAGAAAAATGCGATGGCAAACTTTTTCGAGGTGAAAGTTGTGAACCCTTGGAACAATCTACCAGAGAGTGTTGTGACGGAACCGAGTGTGAGCTCTTTCAAGACCAGACTTGACCAACACTGGAGCAGGTTCAGATACATTCAGGAGTCAGTGCCTGCCCAGTACTTGCCAACAGTGCGTAACAGAGACGTGACCGATCGCCCAAGAGGCTAACGAACCGATCAGTGATAAAGAGGATAAAACAAAAATAATATAAATAAAATGTAAAAGTATACTATTAACAACTCTACAAGGTCATGTGACTCACCTGGACACGAGGGAGGTTGACGTTGGTCTCTAGGTTGGCGATAGGTGACATTTTGATTCGACAGGGGAGAGGCAGATCGAACACCCCGTAATGGAACACCTGGGGGAGAAGTGAGGGCCTTTAGCACTGTTGACAGTTTACACCAATAATACATTAAGTAATGGTGTATTACATCATTAATACCTTAATTAATGGTGTTTTATCTCAATAATACCTTAATTAATGGTGTATTACACCAATAATACATTAAGTAATAGTGTGTTACATCATTAATACCTTAATTAATGGTGTTTTATCTCAATGCTACCTTAATTAATGGTGTTTTATCTCAATAATACATTAAGTAATGGTGTTTAACACCAATAATGCCTTAATTAATGGTGTTTTACAACAACAATACCTTAATTAATGGTGTTTTATACCAATAATGCTTTAATTAATGGTGTATTACACCAATAATACCTTAATTAATGGTGTTTTATACCAATAATGCTTTAATTAATGGTGTTTTATTTCAATAATACCTTAATTAATGTTTTTACACCAATAATACCTTAATTAATGGTGTTTTATACCAATAATGCCTTAATTAATGGTGTTTTATTTCAATAATAGCTTAATTAACAATATTTTATTACAATGACGCCCCCGTCATGTCAGTGGACCACATAAGTGACCCCCCCATCATGTCAGTGGACCACATAAGTGACCCTCCAACATGTCAGTGGACCACATAAGTGACCCCCCATCATGTCAGTGGACCACATAAGTGACCCTCCGTCATGTCAGTGGACCACATAAGTGACCCCCCCATCATGTCTGTGGACCACATAAGTGACCCTCCGTCATGTCAGTGGACCACATAAGTGACCCTCCGTCATGTCAGTGGACCACATAAGTGACCCTCCATCATGTCAGTGGACCACATAAGTGACCCTCCATCATGTCAGTGGACCACATAAGTGACCCTCCATCATGTCAGTGGACCACATAAGTGACCCTCCATCATGTCAGTGGACCACATAAGTGACTGTGTTTCCTTGCTGTGCCGTCCTAGGAGCTTTAGGATGTCCCGCCTCCCAGATAACTATGGTTGGTACACCAACTGTAGGGTCACTCTGTACAACTTGGAGGATTAGGATATTACTGACGATAATCCCACCCATCGACACACTCCCTCCACTCTGTCTTTTGTACTGTACAAATGTCAAGACTATCTAACAGTTATCTAACCTCTTATGTCAAGTAATGTAACACTTGGTTGGATAAATTGTTTCGTGAATTTATTAAAGAAAACAATGACATCCCTTCCCAGCATGAGACAAAATACATTTATAAGGTGGATATGAAATGTTTCTTAGTACAATTTTAACCAACCGTAAATAATGAATGATGAACTGAAGCACAACAACCGAAGCGATAGTTAAGACGAAGTGTGTGTGTGTGTGTGTGTGTGTGTGTTTAATTTTTAATCTTGCCACTCAATGGTTAGTTTATTGTGCACCCCATACTAGTTCTGTGAGCGGTAGCACAAAAGGATTACAGAGTAGAGGTCACAAAGGGTGTGTATAACTAACTCCAGTGGTCAGGATATTATGGCATTGAATGTTACAGAGTATTTCAGATGCCTTGTTTGTTTAGTTTTGTACTGTACAAGGGTAGCTTATTAGCAACTGCGTGAGTACAGGAGAGTGTGGCCATATGTTTGACCACACACTTTATATTTAGTTTTGTTAACATCTGGATGAGGGATATACTCCTAATCTTAGTCTAGCAGTTACAACATCTTGCAATCTAGTAATCTTGTTACTTTCTCTATATACAGTACATGTTTCACTTGATACATCTCATCGTGGAAAACAATGAATTGACTATTTCCTGTTTGCACTTGTCATCTTAGGTTAAATTCTTCAATAAGTTCTTTTCTGATTACAGTTTTAAGGTTCTTTTTGACAGACCCAGATTGTATTCAACATGGCTTTGTTAGATGCGAGTTTGGCGAGGACGTCAACTCTGTGCCTATGTGAGAGGGAATCCACAACAGTTTGACCTTGACACCCCCGTCAACAAGGTCCACATATTTGTGTCTGGCTTCAGAGACAAGCGCGTGACAACTTAAGTTGAGGGTGTTGTGGGCGAGCAGGATAGAGAATCGTGGATGACGAGACTGTCAGTGACAGTGTTGTCAACAAATTTTATGGCTGTGAGTATAGCAACTAATTCAGGTTGTAGAGTGGATGCCCAGTTATTAATTCTAACTCCTTTCTCAATTGTATTACCGTTAGGTTGAGTCACAACGATAGCACTTCCAGCCCTCCCACAGGCGGTGTTAAGAGATCCATCAGTGTAGATGGTCTGTGTGATGTTATCATCAGTCTGTAGAGTGTGTATGTGTTCAAGAGCTCTCACTTTGGCAGTGTGTTGGAGATAAATACTTTGCATAATTAATCGTTCAGGCGGATACGCCGGTATTGTGACATCAAAGAGAACTACACGATAACGCACAGGTTTATGGGGGTTAATGACCCTTGCAATAAAAACACTCCTTCAGAATATTTAAAACGACAATTACGCTGTGCTCGCAAGGTGTAAATCCACCTCATATATATTTTCTTAACAATATACACTAACTTTGCCATTTAAGCGCCTAAGTTTTCACTTCGACAAAAAAGTCGTAAGTCGCTCCGATAAAACGTGACCTAATACCTTGAGGTTCGGCAGATGAGGTCATGACGTAGATTTCGTTCAAAGTTCATACAAAGGTTCTCTTTAACATGCTGATGGACGATCTGGGTTCATACAAAGGTTCTCTTTAACATGCTGATGGACGATCTGGGTTCATACAAAGGTTCTCTTTAACATGCTGATGGACGATCTGGGTTCATAATTTAAAATATTGAGTAATTAGTGTTAATTAATGACCCTTGCAGCAACATAAAACGCTACCTTTAGAATATTTAAGTCACGCCCTCTACTTGGCCAATCAATCAACTCTATTTCAGGG